TAGTTATTAGGGATATATATCCTAAGTAGGTAGTAGGTAAGTTTATCTTTACCTATTACTACTACTTATTACTAATAATCACTAAAGGATTTAGCTATTTCCTTATAGAATAGCTAAATATAGCCTAGTTTAGGGACTAGTAGGAGTAAATCTAGTAAATTCTTATCTTCTACTATATCTATTTCTTTTAACTAATTACTAAGTTTTATAGGTAACTAGTATATACTATAATAATTAAGTTACTTATAGTAACTACTAGTTAGGTAAATAGTACTCTTAATATACTATATAGCTTACGAATTCCTAGAGTCACTATATAGGCTACTTATAAAGCTATACTATAGATACTTACTAGTTTAAATACCTTTATATCTAAGATACTAGCTAATCGCTACTAGAAATACCCTCTAAATACTAATCTCTTAGAGTCACTATATACCTATATTAATAGAGAAACTAGAATCTAGCTTACTATTATCGAAGCGATTAAATTATAAGTTCTACTACTAGTAATTACTAGTAATTACTAATAATAGTAGTATATAACTATATAATAAGTAGTCTTTAAAAGATATTTAGTACTTTATAAAAACTAGTATATAGCCTATATCTATATTATCTATACTAGGATCCTATTCGAAATACTAATCTTAGGCTATAGGTATATATAACTACTTATAAAGATTAGTTATTATAAGTTACTAACTATTACTAATAGAGATTAATAGTAATAAGCCTACTATAGACTCTCCTATACTTATAGCTTAAAATATAAAGAAGAGAAAAAGTAAGTATAATAAAATCCCTACTACTAGTTAATACTAGTCACTAGTAATCCTTACTAAATATTACTAACTCGCTCTAATAACTAGTCACTACCTCTAGCCCTATAAGATCTATTAACTCCTACTCTAGTTAGGAAATTAGTAAAGGGAAAGAGATAAGCTAGTACTAATACTACTAGAGGTTTATAATTATTACTACTTATTCCTTCTAGCTACTAACTATCCCTAGGCTCTACTAGTATAGTTTATAAATCTTAACTAGCTACTAAGGTAGAACTAGGTACTAGTAATAACCTACTAGTAGTGACTAATAATAAGTAGGTATAGGATAGAGTTTCCTTAAGTGATCGGTTTATATAGTAAACCCTAGATTTCTAAGCTAGGATAATAACCTAGATAAAGAGTATAGAAGAGAGATTAGAAAAGAGGGGATAGGAAATAGAAATAATAGTGTATCTAGGAATTTTAAGTGATTTACTATAGTTTCCTATCGCTCCCTTATATTACTAGTAATTTAAGGTAAATTATATTATTAAAGAGATATCTACTAAAATAGAGTGTTCCTTATAGTATTTATTAGCTACTATTAGTTCTAAGGACCCTAAGTAGAAGAGATAAATTTAGGGATATTATTAAAGAGATATACACTAAAATAGAGTGTTCCTTATAGTATTTATTAGCCACTAATAGCTACTACTAGCTCCTAGAACCCTAAGTAAAAGAGAAATTTAGGGATATTATTAAAGAGATATACGCTAAAATAGAGTGTTTCTTATAGTATTTATTAGCCACTATTAGTTCTAAGGACCCTAAGTAAAAGAGAGAAATTTAGGGATATTATTAAAGAGATATATACTAAAATAGAGTGTTTCTTATAGTATTCATTAGCCACTAATAACTACTACTAGCTCCTAGAACCCTAAGTGAAAGAGATAAATTTAGAGATATTATCAAAGGGATATTATTAAAATCTAGAGCCTTAATTACTATAGTATATATCGCTTAGTATAAGGCTATAATAATAATTTTAGTACTTATACTATACCTATTACCGGAAGATATTTTTTAATCTTACCTCCTTCTATCCTATTACTCCTAATAGTTACTAATTACTACCTTTATAGCTTAGTACCTAAAAGGACACTAGTAGCGGAGTAATTATATAGGTAGATACCTAGATAAATAGATATAAGTTTAGACTTTACTAGTAGTATCTACTTATAACTAATAATATTTAGTAAAAAGGTTCGAATCTACGATTATATAAGATATAGGAAGAGCTAATAGCTAATTCGATATACTAATATTATAAGTTACTACTCCCTATATTATAACTAATTATCACTAACTACTTATTAAGACTATTCTAGCCTATTATTTATTATACCTATACTATAGCTATATCCCTAAGGGGAAAGGTAAAGCTACTAGTATTTATAAGTATATTAGATATAAGTATACTATAAGTTACGACTATATAATACTAGCTATTACTAGCTATTACTAACTATTTTTATAGATAAAAAATATAGCGTAGTATAAGAACCTTAAGGTAGCTATAGGAGTCTCTAGTGGTAGTTAAGAGTGTGTTTTATTCCTTAATATTCCTATTTACTACTAGTTATAACTAATATTACTACTAATTAGGTCTAATAGATTAGCCTATACCACTAATAATAAGGATAGTGATACTAGATCTACTAGCGATAATAGCGATAGTGGTAGTAATAGCGGTACTAGTCCTAGCCCTACTACTATAGCTACTACTAAGGCTAAGTTTACTAAGGCTAGAGCTACTAGGACTAAGGCTACTAAGGCTAAAGTAGCTAAAGCTACTACCGCTAGTAAAGGCCCTACTAATAAGGGTAATAAGGGCGATAAGGGGAAGGGTAAAGCCCCTATTACTAGTAGTGATAATAATAGTAATAATAGTGGTAATAATAGTGATAACGATAATAACGTATAAGTTAGTAGTTATAGGTAGGAATAACTAGTAATAACTAGGTATCACTCTTTATTTTTTTTATAAAGCTTATAGTAATTAATTAACTTTTTTAATTATATAATATATAATACTTATTTTTTACTAGTAAATTATACTAGACTATAGACCACTAGTTACTACTAGTAATTACTACTAATAAATATAACCCCTTCCCTTAATTTATTAGTAGGAACTTTCTAGGAGCTCTTAGTAATATTTAAGTTACACTATATTTTAAATATAGTGTCCTAACTAGTAATTATTAGTAATAATAAATTATCTATATTAACTTCTATATATTATTCCTATATTATATAGAACCTACTAGATAATAACTTCTATCGAGATATTACTAGTAATTACTAAAAATTAAATACTAATTATATATTAAATTTACCCTAAAATTTTTAGTTACTACTAGTTATATCTAGTAGCTATTAGAAAACCCCCTATATAATATATATTAATATATTAAGACTGTTAGGTATATAATAAAATATATAAAAGTTATTGTTAGGCACTTTTTACTAGTAGCTCCTAGCCTACTAGTAAATACTTCACTCTTTCTAGTAGACTTAACCTAATAACCTAACAGCTTTTAGGGCTATAATTTATTTTATTAACCCTATATTAGTCGCGACTAGTAGCTCCGACCTCCTACTAGTAGCAACCAGCCTACTGGGAGCTACTAGTATGAAAAACCCACCTAATAACCTGACAACCTGACAACCTGACGACCCCCCCTATTCCCTGGGCTCTCCAATTTTTAGGCGGATGTCTGATGTGTTGGTATATACTGCCCTAAAGCTTGCTTGAATTGGTTTTGACATCGTATCATGCTGGTAAATACAGAGAGTATGCTGCGCTAAGCCTGATGGAGTGTAAGATGACCACAAGTGACAAACCTGGCTTGCCTGTTACAATTGAATATAGGCATTTACAAAGGAATTATCTTGGTATTCAAGGATTGTGTTTTGCGATTATAATTTGTTTTCAAGCAATATCAGGCACATACGACCATAGGGTGTGGAAAACAGGGCTTCCCGTCCGCTCAGCCGTACTTAAGCCACACGCCGGTGAGTTAGTAGTTGGGTGGGTGACCACCAGCGAATCCTCACTGTTGTATGTTTTTATTTTTTTAAAATTCACCCCGAAGTACACTTTGCTGCCCTACTAGGGTGACTATTGGGACCAGCGATAGATACACGTTTAGCATAAAAATTGAAGGATAAAAAATCGAAATATAATATATACCGTAACTATTCATGCAATTGGGAGATATGTTGGCTCGGAAAAATAATCGATTCTTATCTTTATACAGTTTGAGATCAATGCTCAGTGGTACTCATGTATGTACAACATACAATAGAACACAGTTCAATTTTATGAACTTAAATTTTCCGAACTCGAATTTATGCTCTCATTTAACATGTTCCAATTTGATAACGGTATGCATAATTAGTTCTTGTACGGAGTAACGTGAGAATGGATCTGAATAGTGCCTGGCAATATTGACCAATAAGAGAGTTATGCATCGCTTATCCCAATAGTCGCCCGTAGTCCTTTCATATGCTCTGATCACTATTCCACGGAGTAGATCTGAATATCGTACATGCTCCTGAATCGCTGATGCATCCCGTCCCTCCTATATTGATTCTTCTCACCGATGTATTGTTTTGATCGCAAATATTTGGTACTAGGTTAGGTCTAGAGTCAGATTTATTAATAAGCTTAAGCCCGATGGATACGTATCTTCGACTCCGCCAATTGATCATATGCCCCCTTCAGAGCCGTAAAAGCCTACATCGAGTGGTTTCAAAAGGTGAAAAGAGTATAGGGGCGTATAGAATGATATGATATTGTTTGTAGCATAACCTAGCCTTTGCAATTCAGCAGGATCGCTCAACTCTATTTAACACATAGATAGTACTAGTTAGTCTATTCGATTTTGCTCCAACCTGATACAAGCCTGTAATAGTAAGAATAGACGTTAGGCCATGGAGGAGAGGTGAAGAAGGAAAAAGCTTCTGCTGTTCAATCTATGGAGAAGTTGTGTATCTATACCCCGTGTCTGACAAACAATAGTCAAAGAATTTGCTCAGTTTGTAAGAAAACAATCATCCGAGGGTTCAATCCTCAACCGTAACGACATCTTTTCTCTTTAGTTCCGCCTATTTCGAAAAATAATCGCATATACGCTTCAGGCACAGATACTGTCTGATAGATCTTACTTAAACGTATAAGAGTGCAAAAGCAGCACCGAGTAGAGTCATGGCTCCCCTGGGAGCGCCAAACTGAGACGATGCAGCACCAGTCGAGTGCAGAGCCGAGGCGGAGGCACTAGTGGATGAAGTCTCGGAAGAAGTGGAAGACGCGGTTTTGGAAGAAGAAGAAGAAGAAGAAGAAGAAGAAGAGGTGGTGGAGCCTGCGATGGGAAAAGGTATATTAGTATGATGACTTATAACATTGTGCGGAGTTGCATCATGCCTAAGGTAGACAAAGAACTAGTCGACGGCGTGGGTGTCAAAGACGCCGAGGATGTCAATGTAGAGGAGGAGAATGTGGAAGTAGTCTCACTGGATGTCTCGGAGGAAGAAGTAGAGGTGGAGGTGGAAGAGGTGGAGGTGGAAGAGGTGGTGGTGGAAGAGGTGGTGGTGGCAGTGATGGTGGAAGAAGACGAGGATATGGTACCATCATCCGAAGCGCCCTTTTTAGCAGTAAAAGTGTCACTGACGGCGAGCTGGCCCGCAGAGTCAATTATCTGTATCTCGTAGCCATATCTAAGACATATCGGAACGGTATTAGTATTTTTCTCTTCTGTTCACCCACTTTATCTTCTACATACCCGTCAATAATGCTAGGGTTAGGCTGGGTCGTGTATTGACCGGCAGAGGTCTTGACGTTATCCGCCAATTTCGTCTGGAAGGAGCCATCCTGGGTACGAAGGATGATACTGATCACGGAAGGATCACCGGATTCGCGAGTGAATTTGATAGTCTTGGGGGTGGAGAAATCCCACACCGTGTCTGATGATGGAGTGGTGATGGTGATGGCAAAAGCCGTCGAGAGGAGGCCCAAGACAGTGATGGGAAGTGAGTAGCGCATTTTGGCTGAATGGAACGATTGAATTACTGAAGAGTGAGCTGGGGGGGGATGTCCCCCTATTTCTGAGGAAAAGACTAGATATCTTGGGTCGATAGACTGGGTACTAAATTGTTGTAAGTATGCAGAAACCATTGACTTTCAGCTGAAACCGAGTGCATTGAGAATACGAGATAGTTCAGACCTTGCATAGCAGCAGAGTATAATTTAGGATATGAGCTGAGCCTCTTGTGGAGAGATTGGAAAATCCCAGGCGCTGATCTGGTGTCCACGTAGGACAATAACGAAAGGGCACTGCTAGGATCACGCATCAGCGACCCACCCTGTTGTGCTGCGGCTGCTTGCCTGAGCGTCATTGCTGCCCTCAAAGCCCTGCCTGTGTGTTGGGTCTATCAAAGCGAGCATTGCACCTTATCTTTCCAATCAAGCCCCCAAAACGCATTGGGACCTGATCCTTGCAAATCGAAGAATTTAAAGATTTCCAACCCAGCTACGGAGCAAGGGTTTGCGTTAGGTCAGCGCTAGAGTTGAGAAGTGCATTGTATACCGACAGGACCCGGGATCGAGGTCATCATAATTGGAAATTTATTTTCGTTGTACTGTATTGTTACTTACGGTCCTCAAAGAATACCGGTCATGACTGGTAACATTCACCAGGCTACGTCTGTATGCCCGTACTATGTTGTGTGCCCAACAGTCAAAAGTAACTTCGCGGGTTTTGCTCCAAGTACAAGTTCTAGCTATTCAGCATATTCCCTGTTTCCGTGGTAGTTGACAAGATTTATGTATATGAAAGGGACAGAATTAAGTGTACGGCGTATCTTGTCTATAGTAAAACAATTGCAGAAACGAACCATCGAAAAGAAGGTCCACAACATCCACAACCCATATGAAGGACAGAAAACCAGATCAGAATAGAAAAAATGGCGGTCTAGAGGACTAGATGGAACCGCAGGACGTGGTTAATGCAGCCGTGACTATCAATGTCCCCATCTTCCATGACAAACCGAATGAAGGAATCCCAACACCGGAGGAAGTCTTTGGGATTGATGAGGAGGTTGTAGATGTTTGAGTATGAGCTTTACAAATATTGGTGCTTCGCTTCAGGCTTTCAGTAGGATAGTACACCCGAGGCCCTCCATCCGAGCTGAGGTCCACATTGAGATTTCCGCTTGAATCAGTAACAAATGTTTTGCAAGATAAGAGCTCCGTCACATTCTGTCGGGATGAAAATCCTGTGCCGTCGGAGCTGAGCGTGACTTTGGTGGCTTTGGTGGGCTTGGCTCCTAGGTTGGACACGACGCTCACAACCTGATTACCGGTAAATCCCTTGCGCATGGCTAGGATGTTGGTTGAATTGTAGATTGGTAATGAGAGGTACGATAGATAGTCACCCCCTGACTTGGGGGCGACCGTGGACTTTTCTCCGTCGCCGCTCGCATATGATCGAATGCGGTTCAACGATTGGACGAGCAGAGGGAGGGAGGTCGAGTTTGTCGAGTATTTGGTAAGCCACAGGGCCTCTCGATTGACAGGGTTGAATCCACCTGACAGGTGCTGTTCTTCCCCGTAGTAGACTGTATTGTTTTTATGAGCGTCTTCGGCTTTCGTTTAGATTCGCGGGGGGCGCAACATACGAATGGGGATACCGTCAGCAAGCATGCTCATTGTGAGAATGTTGCGAGCCAGCTAATCAGGAGTAAAAGTCAATATGTGCTGGTAAGATACTGCATGCATTCGACTTACCGATATGTCCGAAGTATACGAGCCAAAGCGAGCCACATCCTGATTCGATGTAAAAGTTCCCAGGGATAGTACATCTTCGCAATGTGATCTAATGTAGTCGATAGACTGTACAATTCTGTTGAGGTCCCCTTTAGTCGTCTTGAATGCCTCCGAGAGGATATAATACCTAAAAATTGTCAATACATGCTATGTTAGTTTTGATGGGCTACTCACAACGGATAGTTCAACAGTCCGCTTAGGCTGGGCTGCAGAGAGCAGTAGCCGGATGCCTCTCTTGTAGCGCCTTCGCCCATAGTGAAAACACCCGCTGACTTGCTGAAATTGGAGAAGAAGATGGGGGCAATGTTCAAGACACTGTCGATTCGCAAACCATCAACTATAAGGAATGACTGTTATTCAATCTGTTGGAAAGAGAAAAAACGTATAGGCATACTGGAGTAGTTCGAAACCAACTGCGAAACCCAGGTGCCCAGAATTTGCTGGACTTCCTTATCCTCGTTTCGCAGATCTGGAAGGGACATGGTGTTGTCTCCCAACCAGCACTGAGGTAGGTTTTAGTAATAATTTCCTGATATGCGTTGAAAGACTTACATCCAGAACACAGGTGTCGTTTATGGGGTCCTCAGAAAGTAGCTTGTAGTCGTGAAAATACTTCTGATCATTGAATGGATTGAACGTGCTGTAGTCAACAGTGGAGGCATTTCCAGCCCATGCCATATCACCAACGACAATGTCCAGCATCAAGTACTATTTTTTTTTCTGTCAGTCTTGTTAGTAGACATGGCAGCCGGCAACTCACCATGCCACGCGCGTGCAACGCTGCAGATAACGATCGGAGGTCATCAGAAGTGCCAAAATGGGAGTTGATGGCATACAGGTCGTTTGGCCAATACCCATGGTATGCTAGTATCCATCAATCGTTAGTTCTCTATATATATTGACATCCAAAATGACCATACCTGAGAGATCCGCCGTGCGAGTTGACTCCTGACTTTGCACGGGAGAGATCCAAACTGCATCGAACCCAAGTTCCTGTATATAATCCAATTTATTTATGATGCCCTGGAAACTCCCTCCACAATACTTTCCCAGTGCTGCATCGCAAAAAGCGGCGGTTGAGTTATCGGATCGAGCGAAGCGATCGGTGACTACTTGGTAGACCGACCGACCGAGCCATTGGTCTCGGGAAGCCGCATATACTGTCCTGATGGCAGCAATCGCCAAAAACTTCCACCACCACATTGTCGGCGTTCGTATGACAGATCAAAAGAAAAGCAAATGGAGTATGAAATGTGAGACAATGAAAAAGGCCACTTAAATTTTGACTAACAATATATATGAAAATGATTTACGTGTGTATCGTACTGTACGCGTAATACAAACACGACCTGTGCTGTCCGTGTAATATATTCTGTCGGCCCGATCGACAGAGGCTTAGATCCTTAAAGAATCCCGAACCGCGATCATCCCAAGGACATACAGATGGCTTTCGGACGGAGTGGCCGTGAACCTTAGCTGAAACAACAACATATGATATAGGAACGAGACGCAACAGTGAGCCACATCCTTATCATCGAATCCTCATAGGTCAGTCTTGTACCGGGTATGACATGTCCTATCTTCTACGAGGCAGGATAGCCGATCTGACATAATATACACTTTATGATGGATATACCTCTAGGATATGATTTGACAGCCCGTATAGCCTTGCAGCAAACACGTATGAGTAATTCTCCATATAAGCAAAAGCTAACGAAGACAGACCCACTTCGTATACTGGTCTAGCCCTATACCTCCAGAGGTCCTATACCGCAACCTCCAAAATTAGCACTCAAGAGTATGGAGATACTTTGCTATGGATTGCGGCTGTAAGACAATGCTGGCGGGGGACTTGGGCCCCAGCGGTTCATCTGATCCCTGTATCTGTGCTGATTTACAAAACAGTGATTGGTATTTTCGCGCTCAGAATCAAATATCGCATTGGCCTGGAAGGGTCCAGAGTATTAATTATCTTATACATGTTTCTCTTGTGCATTTGTGCCCTATGACTTGTTCGGTGTCTTATGAGTTATCGCTTTCTTCCTGGTATGCACATTGTGGTTGTTTCCTCTTTGCAGTCGACGTTCGAACAGCGTATCTTCTGAATGTCACTATAGTGGCATTCACTGTTCGGAATGGGGTTGCTCACTTCCATTGCTTGTTATCTTGCTATTCTTGCAATTTCTGTACCTATTGCACAATCCCTGCCATACCTCCCAGAAGAAGCAGACTGGAATATCAATCAAAATCAGACAGCGACACACCCCCTCGACTACTCGGGCCGATGGCAAGACCACACATTTCACCCCTCGCCAGATAACTGGAGATTCCCTTTTTACACCATATTCGTCGACAGATTTGTTAATGGCGATCCAAGTAACGATAATGCAAATGGCACACAGTGGGAACACATCTTGACCTCCAATGAGTTCCGTCATGGCGGCGATGTTCTTGGATTGATTGATACGTTTGATTACCTTCAGGGAATGGGTATCAAGGTGTGTTTGTTGCCCCAGGAAGACTAGATGTGGAGAATATGTTGACCAATATCCAGGGCGTCTATCTCGCTGGGACACCGTTTATCAACTTCCCCTGGGCTGCGGATGGGTACTCTCCGCTTGACCTAACTCTGCTAGACCATCACTTTGGTACAATCGAGAACTGGCGTACAATGATATCTGAGGCCCATCGACGGGGGATGTATGTTATTTTTGATAATACCTTTGCAACGTATGTGAAACCCGTCTGCGCAACCTCTGATGTCGTCTGCTGATTGTAAATAGAATGGGTGATCTTATTGGCTTCAAGGGTTTCTTGAACCAGTCTGCGCCAATAAATCCTAACGAGTACGACTATGTATGGAAGAAAGATCGTCGTTACTGGGACTTTCAGCCTGGAAATGAAGTTGAGAGCGAATGTCCATGGGATTATCCTCGGTTCTGGAATGATGAAGGTACCGGTCTGACTACCACAGCCCTTGGTCCTTCATGTCGGAATAGTGAATTTGATCAGGTAATATGCCCTTCCTTTCGATAATGAGGGTGACTGACCTCTATAGTATGGAGAAGTTGCCGCTTTTGGAAACTACACGGAATGGGAAGGACAGATATCCAAGTTTGCATTTGTGCAAGATCGTCTACGTGAATGGCGGCCGGATGTGTTAGCCAAGATCAAACACTTCTCGTGTCTAACCATCACCATGCTTGATATCGATGGATACCGCGTTGACAAGGCTTTACAGGTTACCCTCGACTCTCTTGGAGAATGGTCCGAGTATATGCGAGATTGCGCCGCCAAGAAGGCAGGGAAGAACAATTTTTTTCTTCCTGGAGAGATTGTTGCGGGAAACTCTTTTGGCTCGCTTTATATCGGTCGCGGTCACCAGAAAAATCAAACCATCCCCAACATGACGGAAGCATTTATGATGACGAACCAGACAAACAAGTCAAATCAGGATCTTTTCTTGAGACCTGCGGAAAGGTCCACTTTAGACGGGGTGGCGTTCCATTACACTTTATATCGTGGTCTGAGCCGGTTTCTAGGGTTAGCTTTTCTCCCTCGCGTCTTTCAGTTCGCTCAAGCTAACATCGTCCCGTTCAGTCTAGACGGCATCTACACTGCCGAAGGAGATCCGCCCGTCAACTTTGTGGAGACCTGGAATAGTTTTGTGGAGACTAATGATATGGTCAACATAAACACCGGAAAATTCGATCCTCGTCACCTGTTTGGTGTCACGAACCAAGATGTCTTCAGGTGGCCAGGGATCAAAAACGGGACACAAAAGCAGAATCTTGGTCTTTACATCGCTACGTTGCTCATGCCTGGAATCCCCATTCTCTCCTGGGGCGAGGAACAGAATTTCTATGTACTGGACAGCCAGGCTGACAACTATGTTTTCGGTCGCGGACCCATGTCATCTGCTCAGGCATGGCAGCTGCACGGATGCTACAAGCTGGGATCTTCAAAATACGTTGATTTCCCGCTCGACCGCTCCCTGACAGGATGTGAAGATGACTCCGTCAGTCTCGATCATCGCGATCCTTCACACCCAATACGAGGCCTGATCAAGATGATGTTTGAGATGCGTCAAAACTATCCGGTTTTGAATGATGGCTGGTACTTGCAGCAATTGTCCAACCAGACCTTTGACATCTACCTTCCAGGCAGTAATGGAACAGCGACCGAGACTGGGATGTGGAGTGTCATGAGATCGCGCTTTGTGGATGCGCAGAATTTTGATGGCCAAGGCCAGGGGAACCAGACCGTCTGGCTGGTTTATTCTAATGACAACAAAACAGTCGAGCATCAGTTCAACTGCAGCAGTAAGGACGCTTTGATCTCGCCATTTCCCACGGGAACGACAGTCAAAAACCTTTTTCCACCGTTCGAGGAATTTACGCTGACAAAGAGCTCTACAAAGCTTGGGTATGATTGCTGTTCTGAAATTAAATACATTTACTAACAATGAGTAGATTTGAAGGATCTGACATTCCCAATGGATGTTATCCAAACTTAACCATGCCTGCCTGGGGGTTCAAAGCCTTCGTTCCAAAGCACAAATTCGTGCAGCCTTCCCCATACATAACACGCTTCTCCCCAGGACATGATGCTCGACTTGTTTCCCAGGGAACAAGTGGGGAGAGGGTACGAATTGGCTTCGAATTCTCTCAGGAGATGGATTGCAGGGATATCACAAACTCGCTGACGATCACGTCCAAAGCGCTTCACAACGAGAGCCCACAGCTTGACACAACCTCGGTCTCTTGTAAACCTATTCATGAGACTGACGTTGTGACATGGCCTGGGGCACTGACTAGCGTTTTCAGCTACGAGATATATTTGGAAAATGTCTTTCCAGGGGTCCACAGACTCACGCTCAGCAATGTGACCACAGCAGATGGAAATAATTCCACTGGCGTGAGTATATTCCTCGCTATATTAATTGAGAAGGCGACAATGCTAATGCAGTCGGCAGTCCACCGACCATTTCCTTTTCCGTATTGGACAGATAAATAATCCAATGGTATGGCCACAGTTAGCCAACTACAGCAGAACGCTACTGTTTGACAACCCGTCGTCTGAGACTGAGCCAATCTCAGTAATGCCACAGGCTCCCGGCGCAGATATGTGGCGATACTCGCTGGACTTTGGAGCTACATTCAGTGCCTGGATGACCTATACCGGCTTCAACACATCAATCCCCGGCAAAAATTGGACCGGCACTACGAAGCAGGCCTGGGAAGGAGAACACATCCTTGCCCAATACTGGAGCAAGTTGACTGGAAGTAGTGCTCACTGGCAGCATGGAGACACGCAATGGGAATACAAGCCTCCCCGTCGCTTCCCCAATCTCTTCATTGAAGGGGAGTTTAACCAATTCGGGTATGACGCTGGCTATTCAAACAAAATGGCTCTTAGCAACGTCACTGGTCTGTGGGAAATTCACTTCATGGGCGAATGGCCCGTGCAGGTTGCGTTCAACGCCTGGGGCTTAAACGAAGACGGCCTGCCCGATCAGACACAGGTATATGGGGACATTGATGGCGACAACGTTCTAGACCAGGTCCCTCCGGTCACGCTGCTGAGCAATGTATTCAATGTCACGATCCCACCCCCTTCGCCCTATCTTTCCTTCAAGTTGTCGGTTGGTGATGGCGATCTCAAGGTCTACGCCACGCCTACAGGATCCAGATGGGTTCAACTGGCCATATTCATCGTGCTAGCAATTGTGCCTGTCACCACCGCTGTCGGTACGGTTTATGTTTACCTGAAGGCTTTTTACCAGGTCAAGTTCAACCAAATCGGTGTCACCGAAAAGATGTCAAGCTTCGCTCCACTGGTGAGCGTCTTTCAAAAGATGACCCATCGAGCTAATAGCAGGGAATCCAATCCCAGACATACTCTAGCCGATGTGAGCTCGCTCCCATCGGAAAGTGGAGGCATCGTCGGTGCAACGGTAACTACCTGCCGACGAACCGTGCTCATTGCAACGATGGAATACGATATTGAGGATTGGGCCATTAAGATCAAGATTGGTGGGCTCGGTGTGATGGCCCAGCTGATGGGGAAGCACCTAACCCAGCAGGATCTTATATGGGTAGTCCCTTGTGTTGGAGGAGTTGACTATCCTGAGGACGATCCTCGTGAGCCGATGGTAATCACCGTTCTCGGGAATAACTACCAAGTAGATGTCCAGTATCATCGGCTCCACAACATCACGTACGTCCTGTTGGACGCGCCTGTGTTCCGAGCTCAGTCCAAATCAGAGCCGTACCCTGCCCGTATGGATGACTTGAACTCAGCCATATTCTACTCTACTTGGAATCAGTGTATTGCTGAGGCTATCAGGAGATTCCCGACTATCGACCTTTATCACATCAACGATTATCATGGCGCCGCTGCCCCTCTCTACCTTCTACCTCGCACAATTCCATGCTGCCTATCTCTACATAATGCTGAATTTCAAGGACTCTGGCCAATGCAAACTCCACAGCAAAATCGAGAGGTTTGCAGTGTCTATAATCTTGATCAAGCATTGGTGAAGAAGTATGTGCAGTTTGGCGAGGTGTTCAACCTTCTTCATGGAGCTGCCAACTATTTGAAAATCCACCAAAACGGATTCGGCGCCGTTGGTGTCTCCAAGAAATATGGCAAGAGATCGTACGCCAGATATCCTATTTTCTGGGGTCTTAAGAACATTGGGGCGCTACCAAACCCCGATCCATCTGACATCGCCGTATGGGATCAAAACGCAAACCACAATCTCCAAGACGTTGTTATCGATGCAGAGTTTGAAGCCAGTCGTGTTGAGCTTAAGAGACAAGCACAGGAGTGGGCAGGGCTCATCGTTGATCCAGAGGCCCAGCTATTTGTGTTTGTCGGTCGTTGGTCTATGCAAAAGGGCGTTGATCTCATTGCAGACATCTTTCCCTCCATTCTAGATGCTCACCCCAAGGTCCAGTTGATGTGCATCGGTCCAGTCATTGATCTCTACGGAAGGTTTGCCGCGTTGAAACTGAATCGACTTGTAGAGCTCTACCCTGGGCGGGTCTTTTCCAGACCAGAGTTTACTGCACTACCACCCTTCATTTTCAGTGGCGCTGAATTTGCCTTGATTCCTTCGCGCGATGAACCATTTGGTCTCGTGGCCGTGGAATTCGGACGAAAAGGAGCATTAGGCGTGGGATCACGGTAAGGCTGACCTGGAGTAATTCTATTACCAGTGCTAATATATGTTTCTTTAGTGTTGGTGGTCTTGGGCAGATGCCCGGATGGTGGTACACAATGTGAGTTCCCTTCTCTCATGATGTGCTCAAACTAACCCATTCCAGCGAGTCTATGACAACAAAACATCTTATTAAACAATTCAAGATGGCCATCAGTGACGCTCTAAAATCATCCCAGGAGACACGAGCGCTCATGCGTGCACGATCCGGCAAGCAGCGCTTCCCCGTAGCACAGTGGGTTGAGGATCTGGAAACGCTACAGACCACCTCAATTGAAAAACATGTGAAGTACTCTAAACGCCACGACCGCAGTTCATTGAGAATTTCCCGTGGCAGCACCCTTGTCCCCGAAAGCATTCCCAAAGTCTCGTCGAGCTCAGACAACAGCCGCGAACAGAGCCGTTCACGCAGCCATACCATGTCTGTCCCGCCAAGCAGACCAATTACGACTGATACGAGACTGTCTGGACCTCGACCGGGTTTTGAATACGCCCTCTCGCCGACAAATTTATCTTCCAGTCAAAATATGCCCGACGAGCCTGAATTTGACACCGACCCAAGACGCAGACCCTTGTACTCTAACCCTCTCACAGACTCACGAATTGTTTACACTGCGGCAAGCGATGGAGAAGATCTCGAGCCTATTTCTTGGGCAGTCCAAGAGGACGGCAGTGTTTCTCCATCACCACTTGGGACACCTAATATTTATTTCGCTCGGTCCGGTGCTAGCACACCAGTTCTCGGTACAGGATCAGAAGATGGTCTGCCGGGTCGAAGAGAGGCAAGAGCATCCATGATGAGTCTGGTCAGCGTCGATGATATAGTCCGAGAGAAGCAAGACTACAAGCTTCAGAAAGTTGATCCCTTTTTCACGGATGCAAATAATGAGTACGCGGATAAGTTTGAGAAGAAGCTTACGGATCTGAATGGCAAGAACTCCGAGGGCCAGCTCTGTATCGAAGAATTCCTCGAGAAAAGTGAAAAGGACTGGTTTAACCGATACCGCGATGTTAAACTGGGCAAATCTCCCTTGCCGTCTCCTGCTCCCTCTGTCTTTCGCTTCAAGGTTCATGAAACCAGTCGACCAGAGACCCCGCCAATCACCATTCCAGGTGCAGGCCTTAATACCAGGCAGTTCCTTCTTCCACATGACTATGTTCCCCCCACGGGTTTGAAGCGTTTTATGCTGATGAAGCTGGGTGATTGGCCTGTTTACTCCATCTTCCTCGCTATTGTGAGCTTGAACCCAACCAAAAACTTTGATTACAGCCTCTGACAGCATCATTTAGGGCCAAATCCTTGCCTTGAACTCGTATCAGATCACCCTTTTGAACGGTGAGATTGGACAGACCGCTGAAAAGCTATACATTTTGGCATCCATTTATCTTGCCTCTTCGATCATATGGTGGATGGTCTTCCGTCTGGTCCCCTCAGTCTATGTACTGACGATTCCATTCTTCGTACGTTGAAGTCTCTCTATCTGATGTACGAGTTCGCAAGCTAACTACCCGCAGATATATGGGGTTGCCTTTTTGTTTGTCGGTCTTCCCGGTGCCATACACAACAGCACGAGTCAAACATGGCTGCAAAACGTGGGAATCGGCTTGTATTCTTTTGCGTCTTCGAGTGGTTCAATTTTCTTCGCCCTCAACTTTGGAGATGAAGGTAGGCAACAACTCTTAAGAAGATATAGAGCTTATCTGACTTTCTTGTCTAGGCGGAGCTCCCCTGAGGTCTTGGATTTATAGAGCCACCGTTATCCAGGGCACTCAACAGTTGTTCATCAGTTTCCTTTGGTACTGGGGCAGCTGGATGGCAACTCTCAATCAAAAGGGCAGTACACAATTCAGCCTTGCAATAACCAATCCAGGTGCTTTGCTCGGAATTGGACTCGGACTCGCCGGTCTCATGTGGCTGCTGGGAGCCCTGGTCTTCTTTGGACTTCCTGCATATTATAGACAAGCACCAGGTCAAGTCCCGACATTCTATCTATCGCTCTTCCGCCGTCGCATCATTCTTGTATGTCTCCAGCGCTCCGCGAGCTAATCTTGATTCTGACGTTGTACTTTGCAGTGGTTTTTCTACATGGTGTTCATATCAAACTACTGGCTGTCGGCACCGTACGGACGAAATTGGCTCTATCTCTGGTCCAGCAAGCATGCAGAAGTGTGGCAGATCGCGCTCCTTGTCCTCTTCTTTTTCATCATTGTCTGGGCAGCAGCTCTCTGGGTCTTCCACGTCTTTTCCAAGAGACATGCCTGGTTCATCCCAATTTTTGCCATCGGGCTTGGTGCTCCTCGGTGGGCACAGATCCTATGGGCAACCTCCAACATAGCGACATATATCCCCTGGGCCGGTGGTCCCGTAGCTGGAGCTATCCTTGGTAGAGCACTTTGGCTCTGGCTAGGAGTTTTGGATTCCCTTCAGGGTGTCGGTAAGTTTCCTCTCGCAGCTAACACGACGTAACGCAAACTGATTCACGTCAAAACAGGGTTCGGAATGATTCTTCTCCACACAATGACTCGATTCCATGTCACCTTCACACTTTTAGCCGCACAGGTGGTCGGTTCCATTGCGACTATCCTCGCCCGCGCGACAGCACCGGATAAGTTGGGCCCTGGTGATGTTTTCCCTGATTTCTCTGCTGGTGTCGCAGCTGGCTTGGGGAAGGCAGACTTCTGGGTCTGTTTACTTTTCATGCTATCCATCAACGTGCTATGCATTTTCTTCTATCGTAAGGAACAGCTCACGAAGCCTTGATTGCTGTTTTACCTTGACTTGCGATTTGCTTTTCTTTTCTCTTTTGTTTTGCGACCGCTTGACATTGTGCGGCATAGGTATTGTGATCAGAGGATTACTTATACTATAATGGGTTGTATTTACTGGGACACTGTAAACTTTGTGAAGGTCACTCGATGTTTTGGATTTGTACATAGTGTATAAGAAAGAACTACTGATTTACAAGTTCTGTAAGTGTTCCAAACTTGATGTTCATGTTTAAGTGATGCTGAATAGGCAGCGATGACTCCGATCTCAAATCAAATCATTAATTTTTACCTCGAAGCTGTTTCCCCGAGACTTCATTTTCTGCTAAGCGGCACTTTCGCGCCAAAATTAATATAGGACAGGCCAGTATCAGACAAGAGTGACAGGGTATGGAGTGGTGAGCATAATCATAAGCGTCCATTTTAGGTCTAGTCAGGGGGACTGATTATTCCGAGTCCTCTCATATCGCGATGGTCCTTATTTTACAGATTACATCTCGGGTTCTTACTCACACTCTTTTCAATATAACCCTCATTCATTCTTTATTCCAGTTTTTTCAATGCATTTACCAGTCTCTCATTCTCGTTCAATGCATCGCCCTTTTTCTCGTTCATCGTGGCCCTCTGCTTATGCACGCGCTGGACACTCGCTGCTTTGACGTCGGGTGAGATTGCCAACTCTCTCAATGAGTTAGCACAGCAAGGATTCGCTGTCAAGGATCTCGTATTGGAAATCAACACCACTTTGGACGGTGGTCCAATTCCGGTAAGTGGGGGTCTATTTTTAGGGCCATGAATGATAGCTCATAATGAGATCCAGGATATCTACACCGAGATGGACACGATTGTGACTGTAGCCCTAGCAAACGTGAAGTTTATGACGAACACACCGATCATTACCAACCAGGCGGAGGAGCAGGTTGTCTATGAGGGATACTCAAATGTAGGTTGATGACAATGAAAAAAATCAGAGTCACAATATTTATATTGAATGACCCTAGTTCGTACAATCCCTCCTTGAGCTCACGGATGCTTTATCGAGCAGCGCAGCCCAGCTCAAATCCCTCAATCAAACAACCAATAACAAAATTCCCTCTGAAATTCGGGTCTTGCAAACTGCCGTTGACGTGAGTTTTCTGATTGGCCTTGATTGTGATATGAGATATTGCCGATAAGATGCTGATACCCCTCGAGGCCTACTTCTACAACATTATCGGTCTCTTCCCAGCCATCAGCTCATACAACGTCCAGGCCAGCAACCAGAAAGCCCAGGTAGATGCGCATTGCTTCCAGGCTATCTGGGCATTTGACCTCGATTATAGCAATGGCAATAAGGCTACTCATAAAGCGCGCAGCACCAGATCCCTTCACTCGCGATGGACGAAGCGCGGTTCTTTGTGATTTTAGACCATGTACAGATTTTTCGATCAGAATGTGGAGATAGAATCTTTTGCTACTATATCCGCCCACAATTTCCTAAATAGAGTGGCGATTAGACATGCTGTTGTATGTTTGTTTGTTTTCCTTTCGGTAATCGATATAACGGAAATTGGCCGTACGCCGCGTATACAAAATAAGCTAGGAGCTTTCGATCTAGACTGTAGAGATGGGAAGAGAGAAAAGAGAATCTGAAAACAAAGTTGTTGTCTTATTCGTCTGGACCTGAGTTTCATCAAATTTATAATCATCAACATCCAATCTGACGCCATCATTGTACTGGAATGGATTCATTGAGGTAATACCCATCAACTGCAAGCATCTAGCTGATTCGCCCTCGAATCAACCTAACAAATCACAAACTCTGCATGCTCTACTTCTGACTTCTCGTTATGGGCCAATTTTAACTCGTCCATGGAGTGTTCTGGGAAAACATGTGTTCTCCACAAGCGCACTGGAACCTTCTCAGTAAAGAAAAGCGAGATCTCCAAACTTGTCCGACCCGCCGTCTCTCCAACACAGCACCAAGTCCAGAGAAGAGCGAGACAGGTGGTACCTGCATAAACAAACCCAACCATTGGCCCAAGCCCAGCATCATAGTAGAGGTAAGGCGCAGTGAAAGAGATGAGCCACGTGGTAAAATAGAAGACAACAATGCTCGTTGACATAATCTTATTTTGATTGACGCCAACTGCCATCTCTCGTGCAACGGTGTAGGCCAAGGGACCCAGACCGAAGTTGAATCCGATGACGACGACAAATGAGAAGACGACAATCACGTATTGTGCTGCAGTCGTCAAAGGCTTTGTACCGATGCCCCCGATTACAAGGAAAGCCACTAGCATCATACCGCTAGTAACCATAAGATTGACACGCCGGCGAGTCTTGTTACCAGTAATGACGGAAGCACCAACAGCGATGATTTGGACCACATTGACGACGATTTGCACAAGGAACGGGTCTTGGACCCCAATGGCCTGCACAAACACCACACCATAGACGTAGAAGAACAGGATACCGCATACTTGTTGACTGAACATCGCACCTGCTGAAAACAGGACTTTTCTTCTCTCAACCGGATCTGTAACCAACGATTTCCACGAAGAGAACTCAGAGTGTTGCTCTTCAACGCACTTGGCGTTTTCAGCTTGCGCCATATCGGCGGTTGGGTCGTAATCAGCTTGACTCCGGTTGATTTTTCGAAAGCTCGTTTCGGCATCTTCTCGGCGATTCTTGGACATGTACCATGTGGGACTCTCCGGGATAAGCGGCAAGAGAGCGAACATCATCAAGGGCAACACGACAAGGCCACCCATGGGGATTTTGTATGACAGAGAATTATTGTCGAGACTCTCTGTGCCTTGGTTGATGCAAGATGCAACCAATTGTGACCAAGACTGAAGGAATTGGAACATCATCAGAGCTGGACCACGAATTTCCGAGGGTGCAACTTCGCCAATGTATAGCAAAGATGTTACTGTAAATTGACCAACTCCGAGACCCATGAGAATGCGCCCAACGGTGATAATCGCTTCCACATGAATCGTATCCGCCACTTGACAGATACCGCCGATCAAGATACAGAAAGAAGCGAGCCAGAATGTGGCTTTCCGGCCCCAGCGATCATTCACAGGCGCAGCAATAATTGCACCTAGCAAATCTCCGATGTAGATAGCCGAGGCAGTCACTGCCTGAAAGGAGGACGACAATTCAAGGCTACCACTTGAATCGCGTTGTGCTGCGTAGTCATCTTTGAATTGTTGCATCGCCAGGACGCCATTGAAGTAGGTATTATCATAGCCGTAGCAGAGAGCGCCAACTGCTGATACACCACAGTAAAAGATTGCCCACCCATGGCGTCTCCAATCGAATCTCAAGAATTGAAACATAGTATTTACACTCGATGTGGATTTGATCTACCCCTTGAAATAAGGAGTCAGTCTCAAGCTGATATAGAGGCCGGAGAAAACAAGAAATCTAAAGCGGGGGCGGGGATATCTTGGAGGCAATATCTGGGGAAGAAATCCGGGGAATACACACGATGCCAGAAGCGGAAACGCTCGTGGGGGTAACGGGAAGTGTGGATTCACGGATTGCCATAAACAAATGTTCCGACCTGGCCAAGGACATCCTACAACCCAAAACCGGCTGTGATCAGCATACCACGACGTCAGTAGCCTACCATAATGGCTATGGGCTTCAAATTCGGCACCTTGGCGCGATATGGGCTGTAAAGATAGAAAACTTGACTATATAACATTTATATTACATTCAGAGACTGATATGCACAAAGCCCTCCTTGAAATACTACAAAGGCCCATTCCTTGATATTTCGGCCCTATTGTTCTACAATCCTCAATCATACTTCGAAAGGTTTCTGTACTGCATCGCACTTTGCTACAATGATAAGCTTAGTGTGATGTCTACGTGCTTGAATACACGAGTTCGCTCAAAGTTGATCACAAAATTTCTCAGAAGCACCGACGCTTCATTGTCATCGGCGAATCTGCTGTGTCCAATTTGATTCGCTCCTATATTTCCAGCTAAAAAATCATCTCCAAAACTGTGTGTGTACCATGAGATCCGCGTCGTAATTCGAATGATAGTCACTTTGTTTGGTCAACGGGGAAGACAGAAAAAGCCACAGTTGTCTGGCTAGACCTTGACTCAGCATGTCAGAATCGACCACCGTAAGGATATAGCTCAAACGCAATGTAGCTCCTCGAATTTCGAGCTCACCTCCGTCAAGAATCGACAGGGCGCCATGGAAGAGATGAAAGTACACATTGGGCAAGAATGCTTGGATATGAATAGGCAGTGTACTGTCTGGGAGTTTTACGAAGAAGTTATATAAACACACGATTTCCCTGAAATGAGGAGTGGGGTGTTTCATTGTGTACAAAAGTCGAATGGAACGGGTGTCTTTTGAGTCTCTCTCTTTCACTTCTGGATAAAATTATGGCCAGATCTCCTACAAGATATACTAGTAAGATGTAGCAGTAATCACGCCTTCAGAATAATAATGTGCTGCGGTGAACGTTTCATTGTTGGCGAGGACATATAGCCGCTGGAGATAGTTCATAAGTGAAAGTTGGGCTCTGATGCTGGATAGTTGGGTTCAAATACAGCAGAATTTATGATTGTATCGATATTGCCTACGATGTCGACATAATTCCCAATGCTTTACCAATTTGGTCGTTAGTTTATGAAGAATCTGAACAATCGTATTGAATGTACCACACAAGATATGGAAGTTGTCAAACATCCATTTGTTGTGGATGTCTGTCTTAAATAGATTAAGATTCCAAATCGATAGGCGCAGGTTGATAATGATAATTTCAGACAATCGACCATGAGAAGACATGCATGTGTGGAATGTAGGTGGATGTAAGAAGTGGCCAAACAGACCAGACTTGATATTCCAGCACGTGACCAAAATGTACCTGGCTTATCGATAAGAGTGCCAAGCCATCAGCAACCCAAAACTTTTCCGCTCATTTGATATTTTTACCCCAAGTCAATCTGCCGATCATTCACAACAAAATGTTGAGAGAAGTGTAAGTTCTGGCAATTCATTGAGATTACCATCCCAGCCTAATATCCTGCTCTACAGAAAAGCCAAGAACCCGCGCACTGCGCGTATCCTGAAAGCGCGCGAGCCGCAACTTGTCGAACCCCCCAAGAAGACCCTGATTTTCCACGGCTCAAAATGCCCTCAAACACTGGACACCGTGTTGAAGACCTTCCACGCTTTGACGAAGCCCTACAACATTCTTTTCCACAAGAAGAATGAGAACTTGCACCCATATGAGAACTCTGAGAGTCTGGAATTCTTGGCGAATAAGAACGAGTGCGGACTCGTAGCATTCGGAAGCCACAACAAGAAGCGCCCCAACTGCATTACATTGGCTCGGGTTTACAACTCAGAGTTGCTCGATCTCGTTGAGCTGATGCTCCTTCCACCCCGAGATGGCGAGGTCATCCCGCCCATCAACGAACTTGTCATGGATGTCGGTCTCGGCCTGCGACCTATGATGCTGTTCTCTGGTAGCCCCTGGGACGATCCTACATCCACTGCACACACTATTCTCAAGAGCACTCTTCTCGACATGTTCCGGGGCGAAGAGACGACCCAGGTCGACGTCGAGGGTCTGCAGTACGTGATGATGGTTGGTGCGGAAGAGCCCCAGGATGGCCTCTCCCCCGTCATCCACATGCGCTGGTACAAAATTATCACCAAGCGCAGCGGTCACAAGCTGCCCCGCGTGGAGTTGCAGGAGGTTGGTCCCAAGTTCGACTTCAAGGTCGGTCGCACACGCCAGGCTGCTCCTGAGGTGCAGAAGGAGGCCATGAAGCAGGGCAAGCGTCCCAACGAGGAGGCCCGAACCAAGAAGAACATCACCATGGACTCGATGGGTGACAAGATCGGCCGTGTTCACCTCGGCAAGCAGGATCTGTCTGACCTGCAGACTCGTAAGATGAAGGGTCTCAAGCGTCGGGCGGGTATGGAATCATCGGACGAGGAGGAGGAGCCATCTGCTGATATGATGGAGGAGGATATTGTGTCTTCCGACGACGAGATCGAGGAGAAGGAGAGCCACAAGAAGGCACGCAAGAACTAAGATCGATCGATTTGCATAATTTCTTTTGCTAAGGAGTTTGGGCCGGACGGGATTTCGTTTTCTGCGCCTGTATGAGCAGTCTTACGGCATATGAAAAGTTATTTTAAAAACCTCTACATCTAATAGAGACATTTCCTCCATCCATTATCTTACAGTAGAATTAACAATAAATGCCCGTATATTCGCCAAGTTCTTATATACAGCCACGTGACCATGACGTCGGCTGTGTTCTCACATGCCGAGGCCCTTTCTCGATGCGGAGCCGATTAAGTGCCGTCCCCCTCCCCCAACATCTCCAGCCGCGAGAAACATTTATTTTTACTTTGTTTCTTCCTCATGATTTGTGACGTTCTCCTGGCCTCTTCTCGTTGTCCATCGCCCCTATAAACACTCCGAAACGAGTCCGACCTCTTACCGAGGCCCAGAGACGCCATGGACACCCTGCTCGTGAGTTCCGCAGCAACCCCGACCATAAACAACAGTATTGACATGCTCCTGCCCAGTCCCAGCTTGATGCGCTCGTCCTCAAACCCGAACTCGCGCCGCTACTGTCATTAGTGAAGGGTGCACGCAATGGAATCGTCTACGGATCAAAAGTTCGCTTTCCACATGCGCTGGTGTATGTTGGACCTCGGACAGCCGGAATCCCCACTACAGAGCACAGCTGACCGATACCGACTGCTTCTAGAATGATATTTTTGTTTAGATCTGGAACGTAGGTCATTCCGCACACTCGACCCTTGCTCTTCGCAGAACGAAACTGATCGCTTCGCTATCTAGAATACGCGAAAAAACAAAACTTGTTTTGAAAGCAACCCGCCAGCATGCGCGGAACCTCTCCGTATTTGCCATGATATACAAGGCCTCGATGATTCTCCTCCGAAATATACCAGGTGGAACCGGGAAAGAGGGCCGATATGATACCTTCTTTGCAGGCCTGCTGGGCGGGTATGCAGTTTTCGGACGACAGCCGGGCAGTATTAGCCAGCAGGTATGTAATATGAATTTCTCCCGGATTGCGGAGAAGATTTCAATTTTCGACTCTGAATAAACCCCGGATTTTTTTGGCAGAGCTAATTCGAATTTAGATCGTTATTTATGTTTTCGCGCGCGTGATGCTCGCTCTTGCCAAGCTCGCCGTCCAACCCAACATGCATCCGCTCTCCTCCCTCATCACATCTGACGCACGCACTAAGATCACGAATAATGCCTACCCTGTTTTCGCTAGTATGACCTGGGCGATGGTCATGTACATTTTCCGGTGGCACCCGGAGACGCTGGCGTCGAGTCTGCGGAGTAGTATGGTGTATATGTAAGTTTCGATCCCCTTCCACATGGTCTTGCCTCACTTCATATAATTTGGAGGCTCGGGTTTGCTCTTCCCAAAGCTAATATTTATCTTAACCACAGTTATGGCGACTCGGATCATTGGGATTCCCTCCGCACGCTCCTTTTACACAACAAATGAGCTCTTAGCGGGACCGGTTCTCTTAGCTTTTGTGTGCGTTACGGCGTATAGAGCGGTTGTTATTCTGGGTGTTTCGGTAGGACGCATTCGATATATGCATGATTCCAGGCCCTGCCCATCATTACCTTTTTACCCTGTATTATGAGGCATGGGATTTCTTTTGCATATTTTTGATCACAATATCAAGCTTTCAACACTTTCACTTACTGTGTGGAGACTTTTGTAATTGGCAATATGATATACTGGTCAACTTGATCATGTCATGGACTTGGTCGAAATGACGATTGAGCATACAGTATTTGGTCTTTTACGCTCTTCTTGGAACATACACTCGCTGTTGATGGGCGATAGGCTGTTGAATATCATATTGTAGAGACTTGAGCTAAGAAGTAACTTTTATCTTGGATTTTCAGGGTAATTAGTTGGGAAGCTGAAATATATATATATGGAAAACCACTCGGGATTGCGTTGGGAAGGCTGTCAGTTCTTTTGGCTCTTATTGAGTAAGGTGATAGTCACTGAGGATCTGGCATATCTACCAAGTCATCCTGGTGAGAGTCGGAGAGTTAATGTTTCAATTCAGGGGAGAAGGAAGGAGATAGGGGGTTGAATGCCCTCGAACAAGAAGTTGGAAAAAGGATCCAACAGCATGAAAGCAAAACAAGAAGAGAAGATCAGAGGAGTAGACATACTAAGATGAATAAAAGAGAAGGTGAAAGGAAGGGTAGAAATGATTACGGACTAAACCGCCAGAGGATCAATCTACAAGTGAATATACAGCATCAACATTAAAAAACAAAAACAAAAAAAGGGCTCCCAACGGAGCCACCTCTACAACCTGGGTACTCTGCTGCCGACGGGGTGTGATGGGCGGTCACATCGGCCAATGACTTACATGCACCCTGACCACGGGAAGAAATCGTGAAGTCGTGTCTCGCCTTTAAGTTGATCAAGTTCAAAGGACGAGGGTTGAACCGCAGGTCTCCGGCTCCTTACACGGGTACAAAGTCCGTCGAAACGGGCAATTACTGGGCGTAAGGTCCTAAGTGGTTCCCACTGGGCTACCTGGGGCGAGGCGTTGAATATGTCGTTTGCTCGAGATACTTGTAGGAAGATATTGTTCCCAATTAGGACTAGCGTAGCCCACTTTAATTATCCGCCCCACATTTTATGATTTTTACAACCTTGGAAGGTTATGCTGACTGACATGCATCGATGTACATTACTCATATTCAAGATATTCAAGAGGAATCATCATGGATTTTTGAACTGAGGGTATAGCGATACAAATTATACAGAGTAGAAACGACAGGGATATAGAAGCGGGAGAAAATACAAAAGAACACTACTGTCCATCGCCTTCGCCAATTTCAATGAGAACCTTTAACTCCCCATCCATCCAGTCAACAGCATCAGCTGAAAGAATCGCAATAGTCCAATCTTTCTGGCTCTGTACAGGTAGTAATCCGTCCGATAACCAGACCTTGACTTTCCACCCATCCACAACAGCGGATTCGCGAGCTTCATGCCCAGCGCCCTGGAACGCTGGCAAGCCGGGTATTTGGCCGGGGTATCGACGGAGAATTGCTTGCTTGACCGTGTCGATGTTGGGACACTGTCCTGCCGGCAGATCGAATCTGGGGAGGATGCGTTTTCCGTTTTGTAGAACATTGACGCGGAGGGAGGTCTGGCCTTGGCTGTGAGAAAGGGTGGTTGTGTTGGCCGGCGTTGTTTCAGGGAGAGGAGTGAAGGGTTGTTGGAAGTGAGAGTCAGGGTTTTGAGTAGGCTGGCCGTGTCGAGCGGCGATGTTCTCGCGAATAATGCGAGATACGTCGCGGGTGATACTGCTTGCGCTATGGGGTTGTTAGTTGGTATTCCACAATGTTCAGAAAAGATGGATGGCTTACAATTCGTCTCGGGCTGGGAGGTTGCGGGTTCCACCAATGCGCCATTGAAGACCTGAGGTGGTGTCTGCGTGGATGATGCGGTTGATGTTTGCGTTTTCGCAAACGGATGTGCAGTCGTAATCTCCATTGTGAATAACGTGGTAATGGCTGTCGACTGCGGCGACGAGCCCCCGCCAATCGGGTTGCTGAAGACCGGAGAGAGACCATAGGTTATCGAGCTCGTAGCTTTGGTTATATGAATCATAGCATCGGGCGATCTCTTCCCAGTCGACTGTGTATCCGTCTAGCAAGAGGTCTGTCAGACCGAGGCCCACGGACTGGCCCGAATCCATTGTGGATTGCTGCATCGGCTGTGGGGGAGGAGGCATTGACTGCGACAGGTCATCGCGATGGGACGACTGATTTTGCATTTGGAGATGCTGCTCTGGAGAGAAGCGCGGGCTGTTCAGATTCGAGAAATCTTCCGTTTTGCGACGGCGACGTTCTTCAGCACCACCCCCTTTGCGCGTCTCAATTGCGTATTGGCGTTGCCTCTCGTTGGTGACCATCCGCCTGAGCAAAGGAATGACCAATGAGATGATTTTGTGTTGGTCGCGCGGCCAGATGTAAGCTCTCGGGCCCATGCCCTCATTAACGACATTCTCTCCGAAAAACCGTTCACCATTGCCCTCCGCTTCGAGGAACTGACGAACACAGTTCCAAAGGCGAAGCTTGACCATTTCCGTATCGCCCTTTCCACGCTGACCGACGCAATCCCGCCTCTCAGGGTGTTCATCGTTCAACATGTAATTCTTAGCAGCAGCCTGGAGATGCAAGAAATTCTCTGGTGAGATCTCAAGGGACGAAAACATTTTCGAAATCGGAGGCCGAGTGTACTTCTTATTGCTAGAAGGCTGGCGAAACAGCGCCGCCGCAGAATGTATACCCACCGCACGAGCATCTGACAGGGACTGCTGCTGCTCGGGACGAATGTCCATACCTTCTCCGGTATAGCCATGGGGGGGTTTGCTGTGTGGAATGCGACTGGTGCTGCGCGGTAGAGAGACCCGCGCCAGCCAATGCCGGGTCGAGGTTATCATCATTTCGCTTGCGCTTTTTTGTTGCCGTTCGCGTGAGCCCCGATGATTGGGACTGGTCGTTGTGATTGGGTACTCTCATATGTCTTCCACTGCTCATGCCAGTTCCGAAGTTCGCGTCGCCGAACCCGTTCTCAGAGAGATCGATATCTGTGTAGGAATCCATCTGGTGGTGATGACCGGCTGCACCAGCTGCTGCAGCGACTGCAGCGGCGGCGGCCCATTGCGAAACATCTTGGTCTGCGGCGGCTGTGGCTGCCTCGACCAATCCCGCGAGCTGGTTGTCGTTGGGTGCATATCCGTTGTTGGACAGTTGCGCGTTTGGGTCGAGGTGCGGGGCAGTCGCTGTCTGCTGGGAGGGTAGATCGGAGGAAGTTGTGGGAATGTGATGGCTGGTAGAAGAGCTCATGATGTCGATTGAGGGCCAGGTGCTTGTAGACGCCCGGTTCGATAAGCTGATAGTGTGTGAAGGATCGAGATGAAAAAAAAGTTGGCAGAGAATTTTGCTAGGACACAGCGGATCTAAAGAAGAATAAAACCGCGCGTAAAATCCCCAATATATCTGCAGGACGGTATGTCTCCCAAGTTGAGGCTCTTATCCACTTGTTATAGAGAACTTAATGAATAGCTTCACCAATTGGAAATGCAGCTCGGACAGAACAGAGGTGTCCCAGCGCGCCACACCCAAGAGGGTGAGAAGCGCGTCACAAGAGAAACAAGTCCAAGATAAAATAATCAGAAAAGCTTCAACAGCTTTAGTTCGAGTTGGCTGATAAGAGGCGCGACGGTTGGAATGATGTTTGTGCAGTTTGAAGGAACAACAGACAGTGCAAACTGAAATCTTCGAGGGTCTCACGTGATCCGGATTTCCCATCTCAGTGTCGACCATCGCCGTAAAATCCTATTGATACAGATTCTATATCATATGTCTGACTTTGAATTTGAGAATATAGAGTGGCTTAATGGCCATGTCTATCCACTTCTATTTTTTATATAGCCCTGTCATAAGAATCCCGAGTCGCAAAATGAAGAAACTCTCTATAAGTACATTCAAATGAAGAAACCAGTCACCAAATAGTACAAAAAAAAGAAGCATGGCGTAGATAACCATGACAGAATACTTGTTCCAGTCAATTGAAACCATGAGTACTGACAGATGAGAGAACATGGGTCCAAAAGTAGCCCTCGAGAAAATGGCAAATAGATGGCATATAGATCATTAGCCCGCAAAAGATTTTGCAGTCGCAGGGTAAAAAAGGCGAGAGAAAGCAGCGCTTGATCCAGTCAAGACAGCTTAGAACCCATCACCCTCCTTCCAAGGACGACCGGCCTCCTGGGCACGGTACTGGGGATTCTTGCCACGTTCCATAGCAGCAGCAAGAATTTCAACAACCTCGTGCTGCTTCTCTTGAAGTTGATTGAAAAGGATATTACCACCCTCACTATCAATATCATCCGGTCCAATAGAGTCATCAAAGCCAATGCCGTCAGACAACCACATCCAATTATCCAATTCGTGTTGGATCTCGTTCTTCTTCGTTTCAACTTCTCGGTAAGCATTGAACTCCTCGCTTCCGCCAAAACAAAATCCATACCCGTCACACAGACACACATTCTCATCAACGCAGAGAACAGGTTCACCCGTGAAGATAAATTGCCACAGATACTCCCAGATGCGACCGGCAATATAATCACTCAGATCCGTTGACAGCAGCCAATCACGATAGAACACAAACCGGGCCCGCGGAATAGAACGAATGCGATCGCGCGACAGGGCGAACTGCGCACAGCACGGCTGCGACAGGACAGACGGGATCGGCTGGTCAGGGAATAACTCCCCCCAGGCACGGGCCAGCATGATTTCCTCCTGCTTGGACTCATCTTCTTCGACCGCGCCGGGGTGCATCCAGGCTGGACAACCCGGGCCGAACCCGCAACGAGTATTCATGTAGCCTTCGCGGACGACACGGTTTAGATTGAGGCGGCGGAGCAGCTGCGCCGCATCTCCGGCGAACAGATTATCGTTGTGCCAGGCGAATTGATGCGAGTGCATGAACACCGCCACATCTGGGAGTTTGTCGTAGTGGTCAATGAGGTAAGTGAGGTAAATCATGACCTCGTGGCCTTTGTTCTTGGGCGGGTGGAGTGGTGCTGTGGGGTCATCTGCAACATAGATGGCATGTTCCCAATCTGGCAGTTCCTGAGCGATCCAGCTGGTATCTTCCCCCTTGGTCCGGGTCACGACCAAGGTCTTGGAGTATTTGTAGCCCGGGGGCTTGGGGGTCCCGCGGATGAAGTCCGGCGGCGGGGCGTAGAGGTCATTGTTTGTGTGGCTTCGGGTTGTGTTCCACGTTTCTGTTGCATTGGATGATGAGACTAGGTCCCCTAGGCCGACGACTTGGGGTACGTCACGCCATGGTCGTGAGAGGCTCCGGGATGTGAGGAACAAGACGAGGAAGAAGCAGGCGCCGAGGAAGATGACTGCTCGGCGTGGGAGAAGCATGGACGGAGGGTTGGATAGTCTAATACGGGATTATTATCTGTTGCACAAGATGCGGATTAGTTCTCATGTCACACTGTATGCCACTGTGTCGTGTGCATAGGGGTGAGGGTGCTGGCAGATCGCAACGCGCCGAAGCATTGAAATGGAGCAATTGAACGCACACAATGACTTACATAGTTCAGGATATCATTGCTTCGAGAGTGTAAGGGGGTGAAGGAGAAGAAACCCGATCTAGATTCAAGGGACTAGGGTCTGGGGGAGTTGGACAAATCAGATGCAAGTGGAGTCGGGGCTATGCCGCCATGACGAAGCTTCTTTCAATGCGATGATGGAGCTGTGTGAGTGTTCATATACCAAGATACAAGAGAGACCATTGATCATGATAGTACACCTTACATATCAATGTGAGATGAAGCAATGCAAATATAAAATATTATGCGTTTGACATTGTCCAACACGGGACGATCTCTTCAGGATCCCAAGGTTCAGCCACGCGGCCTGTCTCAGCCACAAGTACACTCGGGATCTACGTCAGGACTTTCCTCATTGAACTTTACACTGCGTACTCCGTATACACATTATCATTGGAAAATCATTGAAAATACCAGAAGATTCAATCGTGGTATAAAAATCGTGAAAAGAAATCTGGGTATGATCTTTTGCTCGCGAAACAACGCCATGCAGAAAACGCTGGTGTAAACAACTGGGGAGCAGAAAGGGCCGAGCGAACCCGGGAGAGAAGACAAATACATAGGGGGTTATCAAAAGAGGAGCAAAGTATCAAGCGTCTTCATCGGCCGTTTCTTCGACTGATGCAGTCCGGCGTTTGCCGTTGGATGCGGATTCGGGGTGAGTCTCAGTCTGACCAGAAGCACTATTTGAAGATTCCCCATTACTACCCCATGTAGTAGGGATGGGTGAAGACGACTTGGCCTCAAATGACCGTCTAGGGGCAACGTCGGTCCATTCTTGAGACGGGGACTCTGCACGATTATCCACCGAACGAGCAGTGGGCGTGGGTTGCAATACCGGTGGACTTGAGGCACTATTTACAGGAGTAGTTTCGGTGGGGTCATGTGCACTTACCCCCACATTTTCGCTCGTTTGACCATGAACAGACACGGAGAATGTGGGGGTCTGAGGAGTGATAGCATCGCCCACGGCTGGCGCAGCTGGTGATACCATTGTAGTGGTAGGCGTGGGCTGTACTGTTTGTGCCACACCATTGGCACCATCATCCACACGCTGGAGAGGCAGGAGGGTCCAACCAGGGGGAATAGTGAGTCCTTCCGGTAGACGAGGGTCTCCGGAGTTCAGAACATCACTGGCTGGGTTTGGGCTGTATTGATGGCCCGTAGCGAAGACTGAAGATCCTGCAATCACGTTAGGGGGCGGGATTGCCTGTTCGGCACCTGGTTGACCGGCAGCTTCTTGGTTGACAGCCCTTGCTTGAGCAAGCAACCGCTCTAGCTCCACGCGAAGCTGACGCACGTGGTTTAGATGTTCCGTGGCAGCCCGAAGAGTCGCAATTTCATGGTTCAGTCGTTGCTCGATCTGCGCCAACTGATCATTGATTTCAGCAGCGATAGATCCTCCCGGAGCTGCACCTTGTGGGCCGGGAGCTGGGGTGGGGGTTTGGGGACGGCGCCCGAAGCCGAATCCAAAACCAATTTGTCCACCGGGCGCATTCGCAGGCGGGTTTGCCCCAGGCTGCAGCGGGTGGCCTTGGCCACCCTGTGGGTGGAGGTTGTTGAATAAATCTCCGCGTACAGCTCCAAAGCCAATACGGAAGGGCCCAAACTGGTAGACACGAGCACGTGGCTGTGCATCTGCACCTTGTTGGCCTGGCTGGACGCCGCCATTATGACCTCCGCGTGCGTTGTTGCCTCCAGCCCCAGCAGCTCCTCGAGTTCGTGTGGGCGCTAAAACAGGACGTCGGCATGTCGGGCAGTTCTGTTGCCTCTCAAGCCAGCTTCGGAGGCACGAAAAGTGCAAGATATGGCCACATGGAAGCTTTTTCGGACGTAGACGATCAGGAACACGCTGGCTTCCAGCAGCCGGCTGTGGTGCAGGCTGGGGTGCAGGCTCCCCAGGAGCGTTGGCCTCCGGTTGTGGTTGTTGCGCCGGCTGAATCGGAATCATTTCCTCGCGGCAGATAATACAGACATCTTCCCGGGAGACTTCCTCTGCCGTTGCATCCGGATATCTCTGGTGCATATCCCTTGTCGCATTTCGGTAACGCATGAAGTCCATAATGCGACGGGCAAATGAGCGGATTGTCACCACAACGTCCCGCAAAATGTGGATGGGGAGACCATAGAAAGTGAGTAGGATACCAAAGAAACTCAAGTAAATCACAAGCTTCAACAAGTCGGTTAAAAGATCCAAGTAGAAGACCCAACGACCCTTCTCTTCCCATCCGGGAACATCAATCTCCATCTCGTTTATATCGTTTTCATCAGGTAAATCGGCAGGGGAGAGGCAGCGCCCGTGCGGGCATGCTCTCGAATCGCCTCGACACGTGCAACGCGGATCTCATCCCGTCGTTCTTGCATCTTGGCCTTTACTTGCTGGCGGGTTATTGAGATCTCGGTCAATGCGATAACGTATCGCAGGAGGGTGGAGCTTGAGAGGATCGTCAAGATGGCGAACTCGAATCCAAACATGACCATCATATCCGGCTTTGCCTGCGTAATCACGGTTTGCACACAGTACCGCAACATGAAGGCGTTAAATAACACCGTCAGCACAAGCGATACCGCCAGCCGAGTATGGAATAACCAGGGATTTGCCGGCGGCTGTTGCTCTAAGAATTCCACGCGGCCTTCGCCAATCCAGCCCCAGACCTTGCCGACCAGCAGCGAAATGAACATAACCAGAAACCAGCCTCCAAGTTCGCCTCGGAAGATGGTCATGGCCAGACATGTCTCTGTGACGGCGAACCAGGCCCGTTCGTAAAGTTGCTCGGTCTCGACTAGTCGCAAGGGTCCGTAGAGAAGTCGCTGGAGCCAGAATAGCACAAAGCCGGTGACAAGAAGACATAGATTCGTGAGGATCTGGAGATGGAACCATGAGTTAGAGACTATGATGACCAAGCGCGACAACTCAAACTAGTCTGGACAACTTACCATAAGATTCGCACTACTCTGAGAGAGATAGACGCATGCCGAATAGAAATTGGACCTCTGATGAAGAGCTTTTAGGAATACACCAGTGGCTAGGACCACAGAGGCCTGCGTACGGGGTTCCAAGGTTAGCGGGTGTCTCCCCCATCAATTCCGGTACTTACCCCAGCATAGGCGGCCAGTCTCATGGCTATCGACTGGATCGGACAAGCCGAGGGTCATGGACCGAAGAAAGGACAAAAAAGGAAATGGGCGTCTCAAGGTAGCATTTGGTGGAGCAACGAAGTGAATGCCGTTTACTGGGGAGGAATAAGTAGCTTGATCTGGACAGCTTTCCAGAATAACCCGTAGTTAGACGCCTCTCCGCATCTTACGTCAGCGACCAGCACGTGCCCGCCACCTAGATCTATATCCGCCCACAATGGCAAGATTCGATTTCACTGTAGTAGAGCAAATTATTTTGGAATATAGAACCTTTGATACCTTTGTTGAATTCAGTGGGTTCGACATACGTTAGACGTCAGCTTTTGTCCGTCGATCTTCGGTGTTTATCTGATCATCTCCGTCATGTGACGTCCCACATTGTCCGCCCTGGAAGAAGCAACCATTGTGACACCGTCCAGATCATCCCCAGTTTGCAACGAACGAAGGGATAGCATCATCTCTGAATCCCGCACTCATTCTTTCAGTTCGAAAGCAATGAATCATCTTCGGTGATGGCTTCATCACCGGCATTATTTACTGCCTCGCGCAGCCAAACATTAACTTACCTCTTGGCGGTGTGCCCCTTCTCCATCGCCTTCCTAGTCTACATCAACTCATCCATCTCTTTCGTCGTAACGGATTTAATAGGGCTTCGGCATGGAGAGGGAGACGCAGTGGGAACTTTGGGATTCGCGGATGAACTTCTTGCCCTGGTCGCCTGCCCGCTTTGGGGTGTTCTCTCGGACCGAATCGGAGTCCGCCATGTAAGCTTTCTACGGGTCCATATGGGAGTAATAACATCCATGATATTGATATTAGATAGGTATGCACTGCAGGCTATGCTATTGTAGCACTCGCACTAGTAGTTTTTGTGCAAGCCACAAATATCTACCCCCAGCTTCTCTTGGGAAGGTTGCTTTTCAGTATCGGCGGCTCAGCGGTGTCGACTATGGTCACTGCAGTATTGCCGACTGTCACTCGTACGACCTTTAACGCCCAGGCATATCGCGCATCTGTATCTTCGGAGTTGACCATCACACCAGAGCGTGCCAGGAATGGTCATTCCATACATCTCGGTGACTCCAATGCATCGCCATCTGCGCGACTCTCCGGATTTGTTGGCATGTGCGCTGGCTGCGGTGCACTCGTGGCACTAGTTGTTTTCCTGCCGCTTGCAGCCCGATTTGAGAGAATGGGATTGTCGCCATCGCAGGCGATCCAGCGCAGCTATTACCTGGTTGCTGCCGTGTCACTTGTTATCAGTGTTGTATGCTTCATTGGTCTCCGTGACCTTCCCGGAGAAGATGGCAAAAGCTGGGGTGTACTGTGGAAACGGTATGATGACGAAGACGACGAAGACGACGATGATCTATCTATCCATGGGCCAAAATTACCATACTGGAAGCAGTTGACAACTGCGCTTACACTGGGATTCCAAAACCGTAGCATTGGATTGGGCTACGTCGGAGGCTTTGTGGCCCGCGCCTCTTCTGTGGGGATATCACTGTTCATTCCCCTCGCGGTCAATCACTACTACCGGACATCAGGCCTTTGCGACGAGGAACATGAACCAGTTCCTGGGTCGGGATTAGGGGAAATCAAGAAAGCATGCCCACGTGCATACATCGTCGCATCCATACTGACCGGGGTATCGCAATTAGTGGCACTGATTGCAGCACCAGCATTTGGGTACCTGACAGACAAATCGCGACGATACAATTTCCCGCTTCTTTTCGCAGCATTGATGGGAATCATCGGCTATATTCTCTTTGCCATGCTCCCAAATCCTTTGTTCGAAAGGCCCGACGGCAATTCGGCAGTGTTTGTTGTCATGGCTCTGCTTGGAATCAGCCAAATCGGGGCAATCGTCTGTAGCTTGGCTGTGCTGAGCAATGGCATCCTGCGGGTCAGCATTGACAATGAAACACTCAGAAAATTATACGAGGAGCGACGTGGCCGAGGGGACGAGAATGATGCAGAGCCTGATGAGGCCCAGTCTCTTCTTGCCGGATCTGTCAACCGTCGATTGGAGCATCTGTCCCACCTCAAAGGCTCCATCGCAGGCGTCTATTCACTATATGGTGGGGCAGGTATTCTGCTGTTGACCAAAGTGGGTGGATTACTCTTTGACATCCTATCATCGGGAACGCCATTCTATATCATGGCGGGTTTTAACGGCATGCTGCTTGTCATCGGGATTGTGTGTGGGGGCATTAACCACTTCGGACCCTCGGCCGGAAGGGCTCGGTGATTAATTCCGGTTTTTAATTTCAAGAAAATTTGTCCAAGTAATGCAGGATCTGATCGGATCGGCTGTGAATATAATTTCATTCTCAGCATAGAAAATATTGAATCGGCATTCTTCGGCAAGCAGGTTGCAAGTTACGTACGGAGTACACGTGGTTTCCAGGTGAAAGTGGGTTAAAACAAATTAAACTATTTGACTGAAAAAATGGTTCATAAGATTAATCTGACATGTTGCGCTTTCAGGCACGGGCTCTTTCATCGGTAATTTGAACTCGTGGGCGCTAGTCCTCTGGGCAGGGGTCGGTGGCTGACCTGGGGAAATTACGGACGAAAATGGCGATCAAGAGAGATATATTTTGAATAGTCTCAAGGGCATACTCTATACCCTCTGTTTTCTCCAAAGCAGTTGAATGTTTTGTAGTATTAACATTGTGTATGATCTATACCTTGAACCATCTCTCACATGATCTTTTCATTTAATATGAGCAACAAACAACCTTCCCAAAAGGGTAGTTGACCCAGGGGTCAGTTCGGCCCCTAGGCCCGGATCAGCCTAGTTCCACGCGAAACTTCCACTAAAACGTTTCCTAATATTTTGTCCCCGCCAAGCTTGGACTTCACTATGGGCAATTTCCCAATTGCCCCCTTTTGCGAACTTGAACCCCCCTCGAACCCCTGGGGCCCTGTTCCTGGATATGCTCGATCCGCTTGGACCCCAATATGGGCCAATCCCGGTGTCTAATTCATCTTGGCAACTCCCCACGGACAATATTATGCCAAGTCAATAATCTGCGCGCCTAACCCCCAGGATGTCTCTCACTCTAATACTTCTTCTTCCTTTCACACCTTCAGGCTCAAGCAGTCCGTCATTCACTCTTTCGTCGTTCGACAGTCTTTCGTTAAATCCAGTCCTTCGTTTTGAGCAATTGTTGATTCTACTTCAAGTACTGTGTACTCTCATTCTTTGTGCCATTTCACCTTGATTATTACCAATTTTTCGATATAAATCCCGGCCAATCTATTTCAAACATGCGTTTCTACACCATCGCTCTGTTGACTGGCGCTACCGCTGTTGCCGCTAACAGCGCAAACCTTCTCCTACCCGGCTTTGCGGGTCAGGACCTCCAGGCTAGCATTATGGAAACCGTACGTACCGGATCGAGTTGCGCGATCCGCGCGTTCTTCCGTCAACGCACTCTGTTGTCCGTGAGATTTGGACTAACCTTCCACAGAACGGAGATGCGACTACCTACAAAATCACCTGCCCCAAGACCGCTGATGCCTGCGGTATTGTCGGAGATGGCATGACCGCAATTGCTGCTCCCACCTCCATGCAGCTGAAGAACATCAACCTCCAGGGAACGTAAGTACTAGCACCGACTGTCCACGCGCGAACCGGATTCTGATCTCAAACAGTGTTGGAACTGTTTCCTGCAGCATTGCTGGTACCACTTATGCCTCCTGCCAGGCTTCCGCCGGCACCGCGACCCCGTCGGGCACTCTGGGCCCACATGATCTGAACTGGATGCCCGTGACTATTTCCACCACCCACACCCCGACCTCGACCACCACAACCCAGGCCCCCACCACCACCAGCACCACCGTCAGCACCACCACCACGACTGCTGTGACCACCACCGCCCCGGTCATCACCTCTTCGTCGACTCTTATCACCCCGACCCCCAAGAAGTCCTCCTCGGCTTTCATCTCGTCCACTAGTCTCTCCAGCTCCACCCCTCTAGTGGCGCCTAGCGGAACTGGTGCCCCCGCCGCTTCGTCGACTCCCTTCAACGCCGCCGGCCAGCTGGCAGGCAGCATCTGGACTGTCGGTGGCGCCTTCCTGGCTCTTGCCTGCGCTTTCGCGTAAGCCCGATGAGTGATCTCGTGCGCTTTTCACCTGTGCGGCTTTTTGGTTGTGGAAGTGACAAGCTTCTTGCTTGTCAATTTATTAATTCCGGGGTTTCTGACGTTGCTTCTTATGGATGTACTCATGTATCCTCATATATGTGTCCATCTATTATTCTTTAATGATTTGATACCTTTCTCCACGACAGACTACGATCTAGCGTCTATTTTACACCTGTATCTTCAGTCATTGAATATACCTTTTCCCGCCGCTTCAATCTCTGAATCTTTTCTTTGTCTCTTTTTCATGTCCCGGACTAGGAGTAACCCTGTAAATTTTATCCACTCCTGCAAGATACCCGCATGTCTCTCTTTGTCTCATTTTTGGATATGCACTGCCGTGCTCCGCCAAGCCTGGTCCCTGGCTTTGTTGTGTACTCGGTAATGCAAAGCTGACTCAAATACGGAGTACGTGCAAGTTAGAAGCACTTGTACTCATCGGTCATTTTTATCTCGGTTTTCACTATATTTTGTAAACGATCCTCATTCAATAGTCTGATATCGACATGTATCTATGTATGCTTGAGTACCAATTTTGAAATACCTTTTGTATGTGTCCGAAAAATATATACACAATAAAACACTTGCATTATACTCCTTCCAAGACAGCATTTAGCCAAAAACCAGCTGATCGCCTTGCATTGCCTTGCGTTGCCTCGCATCGTCCGGCTTCGGGGACCAGAAGTAAATGACTTAGCACGCCAAGCCCCCACCGGGGCCGGTTCGCTCGGGCCGGTGAATCTCTCGGGGCCTTTGTCACTCATGCTATCTGGCATGGATGGGTATATGGGGTTCAGTTTCGTCCATATCTAAAGGTGTAAGTACTACAGAGTATACTCCGTAGAGACTTCTGCACTTTTTACCGTAAGTTACAGATGAACTAGCCATCCCATAGGCTTAGTGGTTAATGTATTACTCATTTTATACTCCGTATGACCAATGCTAATAGCTAGGCTAGTACGGAGTAGGTGGACGGTGTATTATTAATAAATACTTAGCGGGGTACTAAAAAGTAGACGTTGTCTCGGAAATAATTTATATCAGTTTCTGGAAGAGTCATCTTCATATACGGAATATAAGTATTCAACACACATCATGTCTACTATCTTGATTTCCGGCGCCAACAAAGGTAACTGCATATTTGACCTCCCTCTCAATTAAAATTGACCATTCTAGGAATTGGCCTTGCTCTGGCTAGCAAATATCTAGCTCGCAATAATGTCACCGTGATCGCTGCTGTTCGCAACCCAAGCTCATCGGAGCCAACACTCTCCAGTCTCCCTACGGGGACAGGCAGTCGGTTAATCATTGTTAAAATTGACGCAAGTTCCAACACCGACGCCAAAGCCGCAGTAGAATCATTGTCTGGCCATGGAGTGTCGGCATTAGACATCGTCATCGCCAATGCAGGAATCTTCGACCGAGCCGCTTTCACCACCGTTGCCGAATCCAGCATTGCCCAGATTCAATCTCATCTAGACGTGAACACTCTCGGACCTATCCGTCTATTCCAGGCTACTCTCCCTCTGCTTCAGAAATCCTCGTCTGCTCGCTTCGTCTTAATAAGTACTCTAATGGCAACGATTGGCGATATGAAAGATGCCCCGTGGACTACTGCGCCTTACGGCGCTAGTAAAGCTGCAGCAAACTTTTTTGTCCGGAAAATCAATTTTGAGCATGATCAGATCGCTACGTTGGCTGTTAATCCTGGGTATGGAGTTTTGGATTGTTTGTCTCGATGTGTTGACTAATATCTTTCTATAGGTCGGTCAAAACGGATTCTGGGAATGACGCTTGTCGAACATTAGGCTTTGGCGAGGCTTTCGTAGAGATTGAGGAAAGTGTTAGCGCAATTGTCAACAAAATTGATGGGTTGACGAAGGAGAACGGTGCCGGGGAGCTTTGGAGCATCGATGATACCACTGTTGCCTGGTAGACACCGGCGAGCGCAGAGGGACTGAGAAAGGAAGGGACTACTTGTACCACAATTCTCATGACCACCATGGAGTTTGGTCCCAATTAGATGTACTCTAATGATAGTTACTCTAGCACGATTGACAATAAAAAGACACACTATGACACTCAATTAACGATATTATGATTGGTAATTGAACACCGCTAACATTTACATGGACATGATGGGCTAATCTAAGAACTAGAAGTACCCGGTTTCAATAGGAAAGGCAATTGAACGATATCATAACGGGTTTTTGACATGTTTTTTTCAGTCACAATAAGACGGCCTACACCATGCACAAGTCGGAGAAGGCGACTCTCAAAAGATGACTGATTTGTGGCAGACCGTCGCGTAGCGATTTCCGAGTTAATCAAAAATTGCAAGTTAACAGGACGGCTTGAAATCACGACAACCAAGGTATCGATGACCGCCTGTCGTTTGGAAATATTGAGTGGCCATTTAACCTTGAGCCCTTCAAGCTTGGCCTTGGTACTACCGATTGTGTGAGACCATCCCGGGGGCAAATCGATTCCATCTGGATTTTCGGTCACTGCATTGATCTGACCATTCACCTCGACTTCGAAAACAGACACAAACAGACTATTTTGGTCGTCATGGTTTTTCAAAGATATGAAGATATTGGAGTTCTCAGTGATGAAATCCTCGCCAGTGGGATCGATGATTCTTCCTTGATGGCCGTTGTCCACTAAGCCAATCTTGATTTCCAGATCATGCTGTAAATGCTCTGCACTGTCACACGTTTGAACCAGGAAGTGTTGCGCGCGAGCCACTCGGTCTGCAACATCAACAGCTGCTTTGTACGTAGAAGGCGTAGGCTCTTTGCCATAAAACCGCTGCGAGAAAATTTCCACTCCATACTTGTTGGTCACGGTGAGTTTGCCTTGTTGCTGACGAATCTCAACCAGAGGACTCCCCTCGTCATCGTAGCAACACCTGATGAGCCTGGATTGCTCAATATGCTTTCGAAGCGTTGCAATGTCTGGTGTAAGAGAGACTGGCCATTTGTAGAGAGCTTCTTCAACGAGAAAGGCCAGTGCACCCCCATCAGGCAATTGAGATACCCCATCCCTCCAAGTCAGTGCTGCGACAGCATCAAATCCGCTAGCATCTGTGACTATTGCAGTGGCAATCTGAGTGCGTGAATCGACATATTCCGATCCAGGCGGCATAACCGCATATATATTTTTCTCTCGGACTCCTGCAACTCTGCCAGCTTTGATTACAGCTGTACTGTCACCCTCTTGTTTGATGGGAAAAGAAGTGGAGGCTCGGCCATCCAGGGAGAAGAGAAAGCGAGTGTGTGGTCCTTCTACTCGTGGATGCTGCTGTGGAAAGGACATATTGACTAATTCCTGTACACGCAGCATGACGGTTCTCCAAGAAATGTGATCATCATCTGTTTCCTCGATCACACGAACAAGAGCCTCAGTCAATGCGCCGAGTTGCAACCCCGAATCATTTTCGTATTCATACGCACTTTCCCAAGGTGCTGCGGCGGCAATTCGCACTGCGTGAGGATTATCTCCCAGCTGTATTCGCTCTCGAAGCAATCCATTATCTTGAAGTGACTGGATGTGGCCAGCGATATCATGATAAAGAGTCGAAGGGAGGTTCCTCCGTCTAGCATTTTTGACATAGCGAGAATCACGCACCATACGACCAGAATGACAACAGTCCAAGATGACGGTAACATTCTGCGTTTTGTCTGTAGTATCAAGCAGCCATTGAGACAGCTCCTCTTCTGATATCCCGTGAAACTCTCCAGAGACCTCCTTGAAGTCTATTGGAACAATGAATTGTAGTCGCCATGGCTGACCAGAATCTCGCTCATCTGCATTCTTTGCCAAAAGAGCTTCTCCGCCATGTCCTGAATAGTAGATGACAACTGTATCATCAGGTGAAATTCGGGATATGAGATCGTGCCAAGCCGAGCAAATGCCATCGCGGGTTGCTGCCGAGCCACAACACTGATATATTTGGAATCCCCGTTTTTGGAGGACTTTGGAAATCATTTCAACATCGTTTTCTGGCCCCTCGAGATCCCCATAGGGACTTGCAATCAGTAGCGCACGCTTGGTGGAAGACATGATTAATATGATCGGTAGGCGGAAAGGAAGCTTGGAAGGTGGGATATAATTTAATAGACAGGCGAGGTAGGTAGGGAAGCTCGATAGCGAACATGAAGTCCCTCCTTTTGTGTTATGTGGCATTACTACGGCATAGGTATTATATACGAACAATACTATCATAATTATATTTTCAATACTATTGTTTTCTCGGCAACTTTCTTTTGACTTGGAGCACAGCCAATAATGAGGCAGAGAGGAGGGGGGGTGCTACACACTAACCTAATGATGCTCGAAAGCTAGCCCGAAATTGCCAGTATAGCCTATCTTGAAACTTGAGTGCCGTACCGACCTGGTAAAAACAGTGATCAATTCGTCAGTGGATCCTTGATGATAACATACCACAGTATATATACCGTTCACGAGACGTTTCCTTTTCTTCAACCTGGATTCTTCAGCCTGAACTCCAAGCCATGTATCAATCCCACGAGTCCAGTATAAGCACTGAGGATGGCGATCAATCTCTTGATTCAATTGCTGCCGTGGATCTCAAAGAGCCGGAAATGATGGCAGACGTACCCCGCTATCCCCCCACGGAGGGAGCCAACCCCAAAGGCAAGGCACTAATTCTCTTTGTATCAAAATGTCGCTCATGTCATCTCAAGGGAATCTTTGGCGCAGCAGTCCGTAAATTGAAAAATATCCCTCCTTGTGTTTGGGTGGTCAATCTACACTCGGAAGAAATCACAGTCGTGGTTTCGAAATATAAACCAAACCGCCTCCTAACGGGCATGGGACTAAGTGCCTCACCAAATGGAGTAGGAATAAGCTTTGAGACAACGGTATAGTATAAGATTATCTCCTAATATTCATGTAACCAGGGCTGACAATCTATGAAGACCTTTGTTGGACCAGCCTCGCGGAAGACACTCGCAGCTCAAGACCAGGGTCGTGACAATAGTACCGCAGTGTTCCCATTATGGACACGCACAGAAGGATTTGGTGTGATCAGCGTGTTCAAAGGCCCCGAAAAAATCTTGTTCATCGAAAATGATAGGGTGCCGCTTGGAGCGACGGTTTATTTTGCGAACAAGCCAGATTTGCGCATCGTGAAGTACCAGCCGGCTTCGGAGACTAGTGCGAATTAGCATGAGCGTTTCAAAGTGATTTTGTTGATTCACTATTCCCTAGAGATATACAGACTTGATTTCTTACGGCTAAAATTACGATCAAGTACACTTATAATACCTAGCGTACGTGGTGCCATTATGGCAGGCTATAGTCGCAAGTGCGCCAGTGGACTTTTTGCCAGTAGTCTATTACGCATTTACGTATTTGGTACAATTTAATATACCAGTATCGCTCGAATGCTCTATAGAAGTCGCATCACTCCGATACTTGTATAATCTAATTCTTGATAATCGAGTCCTCCATGCCTCAATTTCCAATACCCAGTTAGACCCCGATATAACTATAGATTACTCGGATTCACTACTATGAGTTGATACTATAATTTCTGGAATTCCTTGGACTTTCAATCTGATATCTGTGGTTTATGAATTTTCACCTTAAAATAGGCTATCTTGAATTCTGATTTTCTTTGATTCCTTAATTGATTGCGTGAATCATACATCGTATAACGTATGTATACATTGTACAAAATTATATTTCAGATGGATATTAATATTATTGATTTCACTATTCTAATTGTCGATCTTAGTTTTTTATCTACTCTGATTCTTAGTTGTTCCTTGGCTATCAAATTCTTTACAGAAATAGAGTAATCACTTGATAGATTTGGTATGAAAATTCGAGCTCAAAGCTAGACGATTCCCAAGCTAGGTATTGGAGGGTAACGAAAAGCGAGTTATTACAATCCGGGGGCGGTCAAAGTTGGGCAGAAAGGCCACTGCCGCACTGGCGGCTACCGACTGCCGTACCCTGTGGGGGCCCCTAAGCCAACTTGGGTTAAGGGGGATTTGAGGCTAGGGGTTGATTGATTCAAAAGTACCCTGTACCTCCCCACTCATCAAGCTCATTTTCTGTCTTTGTTCCTGTCATTGTGTTTTCCTTCTGTGCTCCAATTGGGTGTTACGTCCGAACGTATATAATTCCACCCGGCATTCATGATGGATCTTGCCAAAAACCCCTTCTGGGGCCCCCAGACATCCTATTTAAAGTATGTTTTGATCAGCCGCACATCCTAATGCTTGTCCGTGAACTCACCTATCTTAGCTTCTGTGAAGAGGTATATCAGCATAGTCTCGGAACCTCCCGACTAATTATCTCCTGCAAATGCTAATCTGAGATGGGATTGGCTCTTCAAGGACTATGTGATCACCAGATACGTCGCGGAGTTCATCAACACCCTCAGCAGTCTTGTATACAGTGCGTTCGGAATCCACCGGGTATGCCAAAAACAATGCCGTGCCTTCATATCATCTAACTTATCCCGCTTGACTAGTCGTTCTGGGTATTCACGGTCTGTTGAGGATCATTAAAAATGGCCAAGCGACAGTGGGTCGTTCGCTTCCCTTCTTCGGTTTGATGGGCGTCGGTGTCTGCTCCGCTGGGTACCACATGACCCTGAAATATCAGACGCAAATGTGTACGTTTTTGCTTGCTCCCATATGGGCCTGGCGCTAAGTTGACATCCTTTCTCGGGTGATCTTTCCAGCGGATGAATTATCAATGCACCTCCTGACTACGCCGCTCGTGCACCGTGTCCTCACTTTCCAGAAGAGCAAGCAGTACACCCGACTCATGGGGACCATCCTCTCCATCGTGTTTACCTGTGTCATGGTTGCTCATATGGTACTGGACGAGTTCCTTCTCCATGCGGTGACCTTTGGATCGAGTGTTCTTCTGATTGTGATCTGTACAACGAGACTGATCTCGCGACAAATTCCCAATGTCGTGGTTCGAAAGAATGTTAGGAACGTGACTCGTTTTGGAGTTTGTAGGTGCCCCCCTTATCAATCACCGCCGCGGACGTACTTGAGCTTTTTACCCTGCCACAACAATTCTCCACGGATCCATACTAATACCCAAGATCCAGTCAGCTTCATTTTTGGATACATGATCTGGCTCGTCGATGAGTTCACCTGTAGATATCTGATCTCCATCCGACACTCCATCGGCCTTCCTTTGGCTTTCCTATTCGAATTCCACGGATGGTGAGTCGATGTGAATTCACTTCCTTGCCTATGAGCTCCGCACTCTAACGATTGATATAGGTGGCATGTCTTCACGGCCATTGGCGGATACATTGCTGTGGTGGTTATCGACATGCTCACTGCTGGTGAGGTACATGAGGATCCGACTGGCCAGTTTGTCTGGCCTCTTCCGCTTGTCGCCAGGACGATGGGGTCAACGGTGTCCAAGAAGGGGGATTAAGCAGGATCACGGTCTTACGCACGCACTTGACCTGTAACCTTTTGAGCAGAGTTTGGGCACTGTCAGCCGACGGTGTCCAAGAAGCTTGGAACCATTGTACAAGCTATCCCGACCTATACTAACGTTTTAGATTCCGGCCTGACTGCTGGATCCTGTATTTGCAAAAGGTGTAATACACTAAGGTTGGTACAATTGCGTTGGTGCCTTAGCCACATGTCATCACTCCGGCACCACTTGTATCTAGTTCCTTCTATCTTTTCTTCTTCTTCCTCTCCCTACAATCTGATCGCTCTTATTATCTGACAGACTATCTGTTAGCTTCAGCAATGATCGTTGCCAGGATGTTTGTGAGGCTTATCCAAAATGGGTTGAAGTTCATGGTGCAGTTGCCGTACCAGTCCGACCCGACCAGGACATCTTTCGCATAGCAAAAACCATTAGGGACACTCAGTGGGTTATTGCTGGTCTCAATAGTCGCCCGTTGAGGCTGATAATTTGATTGTCATCTAGTTGCCCCGCTACAGCATCGGAGATCCCCGGAATACGAATCTTCTACTTAGCCAAGCATATATTACGGCTAAACATCCACGCTGTCAGCCACGTCAGCAGTCATGATTGAAAATAGTTAGGGCGACTCCTCACTTTGCTATGTCCCATACCAGGGCTATAAAGCTCACCTGCATTGGCCTGGATCAGAACGATTAGAATCATAAATCACCGAATCGACTGAGATATCTTGGTTTGACTTTAACTGTAAGTTTGGTGTCCAAATTTTGCGTGTAAGAGAAAATTTCCCGGATGCTATGTGTGGAAGAAATACTCGGGGAAACCAGTCTGTAGCAACAGAAGAACAACTGACAAATGAAAATTACTAACGCAGTCAGGGAGCTGGTAGCGTCCGAGAAAGAATGGATGATCTGGGAGAGGCCGTCAGCCTTGCTCAAACAGCCCTCGATGCTACCCCGAAACACCACCCAGATCTGGCGTTACGGTTATCCTTGCTGGCGAATGCCCTCGTAGCCAGATATAACAGTTCTGGAAACCTGGACGATTTGCACGAGGCAATTCGGCTAGCACAAAGAGCCGTTGACGCTACCCCGGATAACGACCCCGATCTGCCACATTGGATAAATGAACTAGGGACGCATCTGTTGACTCGATACCTTCGCACCGAAAATTTGAGTGACCTACAAGATGCAGTGAGCCTCTTGCGAAAATCTGTGAATGCTACTCCGAAAGACGACGAATATCTAGCGTTGCGATCAAATAATTTTGCGACCGCCCTTTCAGCCCAATATGATCGAATTGGGAACTTGGAAGATTTGCAAGAGGCAATCTTACAATCACGTACCGCTATCGATCTTACTCCGGAAGATGATCCGGATTTAGCACACTGGCTAAACGACCTATCCCTCACCCTCGCAAGCAGATATGATCTACTTGGAAATCAAGAGGATTTAGAGGAGGCTGTTCGCCTTGGTCAAAAATCAATCGACGTTACCGATAAAGGCGACACCGATCTGCCAAATCGCCTAGGTACCCAGGCGAGCAATCTTTTAACCAGATACCGCCAGACTGGCAACGTGGAGGATTTGAACGAGGCAATTTGGCTGAGCAAAACAGCTGTCGACGCTACCCCAAAAAGTCACCCAGATGTAGCGGCCCAATTAAGTTTGCTGGGTACCTATCTTTCAACCCGATATGAAGAATCGAAAAATGAAGACGATTTACAGGAGGCGATTCGGATGGGCCAAAGAGCTATTTACCTTACCCCGAAAGACCTCTGGAGTCTAGCTTTTCGGCTGAGCGATCTCGCGGGAACCTTCTTTATCAGTTATGAACAAAATGGAAACCTGGATGATTTGCAAGAAGCTATACGCCTTGGGCAACAATCTGTCGATATTATCCCAAAAGACCACGCCAATCTAGCAAAACGTCTCAACATGCTAGGGGTCTATCTATCAACTCGATATGACCGGACTGGGGATTTGAATGATTTACAGCAAGCAGTCCGTTTGACCAAAAAAGCTATCTCTGTTACTCCGCACGACCACCCTGATGTAGCACTTTTCTCAATTTCTTTGGCTAGTAGCCTCTCAACCCGGTATGACCAAACTGGTGATCTCGATGATTTGCAAGAAGCAATTCGACTAGCAAAAGCCGCCATCGGTACTATATCAGATAGCTACCCTGACAGAGAATACTGGCTACATAGTCTATCAACCTTTCTCTCAAGCCGCTATCATCGAACCGGAAACTTTGAGGATTTACAGGAAGCAGTCCGGCTGGCTGAAAACGCCGTCGCCACTACCCCAGAAAATTATCCCGACCTAACAGATCGATTAATGAATCTGGCTAGCAACCTCGCAGCTCGATTTGATCGATCTCAAACATCAGACTTGGAGGATATACAGAATGCGATCCGGCTTACCCAAAGAACCATCGACAATACACCGAAAGAAAGCCCCGACTTACCACATTTTTTGAACAATCTAGCTATTTACATCTCAAAACGATATAAACGAACTGGAAATTCGATTGATTTACAGGAGGCAATTTCAGTTTCCGAAAATGCCGTCGATAACACCCCAGAACATCATCCCGATCTAGCACGATGGTTGAATAATCTAGGGATCTTCCTTTCAATCCGATACGATCATAAACATCAACAGCAGGATAAGGTTGCAGCTTTAAAGCACTTCTCTCAAGCCTTCGATTCGTACAATGGAACTCCACGGTATCGTATCGAATCTGCCGGTCGAGCAATCAACCTTCTTGTCCCGGATGGTGACTTTGAGAGAGCTCATTTACTAGCCGGAAGAGCACTGGAACTCATACCTCTAGTATGCAGTCGCTACCTTACCCGGGAGGACCAGCAGTTTGCCATTCAGCAAATGTCGGGCCTAGCTGCGGATGCATCCTCTCTTCTCCTCCGAACAGACAATAATCCAGCTCGAGCTTTAGAGTATCTGGAACACGGCAGAGGTCTCATCATTGGATACCTAATTGATAGTCGGGGTGATATCTCAGATCTGTCCACTAAATATCCCAAGCAAGCGAATGAATTCGATCAGCTTCGTCACAAGGCATTCATGCCTATTCGCCGAGAAGATCCGCTTGAGGCCCGTCAAAATTTGTTGGAAGACCGCGAAGAAGCCGTGGAACGCTTGGAAGATTGCCTAGCGGGCATCCGGAATCTAGAGGGATTCGATCGATTCCTTCTTCCCCCTACATTCGAGACCTTACAAGCAAACGCCACCGACGGTCCTATTGTGGTTGTGAATGTCACATCCATCAGTAGCGATGCCTTGATTATTCTGCCTTCTGGAATCAAACACATTCAACTACCGGACTTTGATGTATCGAAGGCTAATCAATATCGATCCTGGGGACTGAACCGCAGCGCATCGAGACTGATTGAGCTGAGAGAAACCGGCAGACCAAATACCTTTCAACAGTTTTTACGTGATTTGTGGTCCGACTGTGTCCGTCTGGTGCTAGATGAGCTAGGGTTTCTCTATCCTGCAAGCGATAGTGCACTCCCTCGCATTTGGTGGATCGGCACGGGCCTTGCTGCCTCCCTTCCCTTCCACGCGGCAGGCGATCATTCTCCAGGCTCACTCGAGAACTCCCTAAGTTGCGTCCTATCCTCATACACGCCATCGATCAAAATGCTTCAATTTGCAAGGGAAAAGACACGTGTCACCCTCGACGCACAGTCGGTGTTACTAGTCACAATGCCGAAAACTCCTGGTGAAGACGACCTTCCTGGCGTAATGGCCGAGAGCCAAGCGATTCAGGAAGCAGTCACCACACCTCATACAGTGAAATCACTGATTCAGCCTAGTGCAGAAACAGTTCTCCAAGGCCTCCAAGATTGCAGTATTGCTCATTTTGCGTGCCACGGATCGTCCGACATGACCGATCCCTCGAACAGTTACCTAGCCCTTCAAGGGGAGTCCGATTCCATTACTGATCGTCTCACTGTCAAAAAGATCTCTGAGTCTCACATGAAACAAGCGTGGCTTGCATACCTTTCGGCCTGCTCCACGGCAGAGAACCAAATGTCCGAATTGGCAGACGAAGCCCTCCATCTCGCGAGTGGGTTTCAAGTTGCGGGCTTTGCACACACAATTGGGTCAATGTGGCCATCGAACGATGAGATTTGCGCACAAGTAGCTGCCATCTTTTACCGTGAACTTATCACCGAGGGTGGGTTGGTAGAGGGTAATCGGGCAGTTGCGACGGCGTTGCATACGGCTGTGATGACTGTTCGCGAGGAGAATTTGGAAAATCCATACCTGTGGGCTCAATATGTTCACTTTGGAGCTTGAGTCAAACAATCGAACGATCATTCATGATGAGCTGTGCATGATACCATCACTACCTAACTGACTGGGTGCTACTCGCCGAAGACCTGGAGCCCGAGGCGAGAAGTTGAATCTAATGGTACCAATCTCTCCTTGCATTCGTCATCTGAGTACAATCTTTGTCCGCATTAGCGATGAATTTCGGACTATAGGAAGACTCTTTCTACGAGACCTCTATAGCGGCTGCTACTTGCTCTTTCCGGTACTAGATCGTAATGCTACAGTTTTAGCCCGCGCTCTAAGAAACGTCCTGACACCTTTCCCTTATAGTGCCATGATATCCACTACATAGAGCATTGTGATGGTTTCTTGGAATACCTCATCACCTTCAAGTGTCTTACCATCTCAATACCGTAGGAATCACTAGATAAGACAAAAGGCTTCAGGAAGTGTTCCTTTTTTTCTATTTCTCACGTCAGTTCGGTAAGTGGCTGGCTCATTGAATTATTCACCTTCTCTTACCTTTCCACATTCTGAAATTTTCTTATATCGTTAAGTAGACCAAGAAGAACAAGTAGACATCGCGTAAAAGTTCGGGTAATCATAGTGTGTATTTTGAAGGTTCTGACCACTTTGCGGGTCTCCGCCCTCCAGATTTATATATGCAAAGAAATGAAGATGCCTGAAGCACACCGTCAGGATTGCTTTTTTGACTCGATTGCTTTTTGCGACGCAACAAAAGGGCTCCAATCCCAATTGAAGAGGCTCGAGTTTTATTTGATTGATCAGTCTCTTACTTATTGACGGGAGATAGCCTACTGGCTTTGTGAATTAAGAGTGACATCATGCTTAGGTACCCTTTCACTCCTCATATCCCGCACAACCTGGTTCTAAAAATTCTCACCTCCTATTTCTCCGGCCCATAATCTGGTCGAAATCAAGGTATCTTAATGCAATGGAAGCTACATCCTATGAAGGCGTCGTTGTGGGAGCTGGGCCCGGCGGACTAGCCACACTTGCAACACTGCTCGATATTGGAGTCAGGAACATCCTTTGGGTGGATAGAACTTTTGGAGGCGGGAGATTGAATGAACTATACCGGGAAATATCATCGTGAGTAAGATGTTGATTACTCTGTGCAAAGGCTAAATTGATCAACACAGTAACACCAAAATTGGTATTTACCTAGACGCAATCTACGCTTCGCCTACCTGCCGTTCAATCATTGAATCTACCCCTGCATCCAATGCAATTACAAAACTGGAGTCTTTGGACAGAGAATCGACTTGTCAGCTCAGTTTGGCCGGTGATATGATTTGCATGCTAAGGGATGGGCTTCTCAAATGCCCAGAAGTGGAGATGAAAGTAGGCAAAGTGGAACAAATGTCTCTGAATGCGAGTTTTTCTACCCCATGTTTAGGCTTGACTAACGGATTCTCAGGAAGAGACTTGGACAGTCTCAATGGCTGATGCCGAGGTCAAGAGTAAGCGTGTGTTTCTCTGCACCGGTTCTCATCCAAAGTCCGCCTCGCTACATCAAGCAATCAACCCCAATCTAACCGTCCTTGATGTGGACGAATGTATGCGCCGCTCAAGACTGCCGTCGGTGCTTCCAGAAGACTCCAAGTCAGTTGTGGCAGTCGTAGGAAACTCCCACTCTGGAATTTTGTGCTGCTGGAACTTGTACGACATTTCCAAATCTGATCAACGCGATGTCAAAACCTTCAACTTCCGCAGACGGCCTATCACGTACGCTGTATACACCAAGGATGGGATAATATTTGATAATTCTGGTCTAAAAGGCAAGACGGCAGAATGGGCAAAGAATGTCATGGAGAACCAGCTGGATCATACCCGACTCGAAGAGATTGATTTGGGGAAGAACGAAGACTCAGTCTATCGAGAATTTCTTCCCAAATGCACGCACATCGTCTATGCGATTGGCTATCAGCGGTCATCACTGCCGAAGATATACATCAACGGTCAACGGAAAGAAACGGAGATTGAATTTGACATGCATTCCTCTGGATTCCATCTTCGAGGCGGAAGTGAGAGAGTTACTGGACTTTACGGTAACGGCATTGCATTCCCCCAGCTGGTTCAAGACCCTGAAGGGCACATAGAAGAAGCGGTGGGAGTTGCGAAGTTTTTCAGTTTTGCAGAGAAGGTGAAGGAAAACTGGCGTCATATCCGGTAAGACCTGTAGATGGCTATGTAGTTGAACTACTGAAGGTCATGCTTGGAGAGTATATATTTGATTCATTGGTAAAAGTGATAGTTGAGTCCACAAGTCAAGTTATAGCGTACCAAAGCATCAGTTTTCAATATCTGGGACCAGAATCCCGTTTTTTAGATCATAATATACTTGAGTAAATACCTACCCAATCTCAGTCTTCAAAGAATATCTCAATCGAAGCACTTTTCACAATATTCATCCAGCCACCACCGCCAGCCGAAGCCAAAACCACCACTTGATCTCCAACAGTCAGCCTGCGCATAAACTCCCCTTGATCATCTGCACTGACAGCCCTACGTCCACCAAAGTCAAGATGCTCGCGGTTCCGCTGACTGTCCGCATACCAGGTACATTCAAACCGATGTGTTGTTTTCGAGCGGTGCTTGTTCCGTGCCCACTCTCGACGCAGGACAAGCTCACCGTCCCGCAGTATAGCAAGTTCGAACCAGCTGTCACTCGTAAATGAGCCTTCCGGTCGATCCGAAAACCAGCGGTCATCGCTCCATCCCTGGTCGCGCCCTTCAATCACCACATGGAGTCGTGGTACAGGGAGCTTGATAGTATCGGGGATTATCTCGCTGATCAAGTACCTGTCTTCGCGCACGACCTTGGGCACAGAGTTAGAGTACCAGGCTGTATCTCCGTGGAGGTTCCAGTGGCATGAGTTCAGCTCTGCACCGAGTGTAATGGACCATGAACTCCGGCTTGAGCGAGTGCTTGGAGTGATGGTTGCTACCGGGCTGGGCGGTATAGTAGAGCCATTAGTCGGCTGCACAATTGAGATACAACTGTTGCGGCTGGAGCACCAATCGACAGGTATACGGCCATAGTTGTCTTTTATGGTCAAGTCGGCATCTGCGCGAACGAGGAGCTCGGCGATTTCTGGCATATCGCGCTCCGCGGCGTAGTGGAGTGCTGTCTTTCCGAGCTTGTCTTGGGAGTTGACGTTGATTGAACTCTCAATTAAGAGCTGTATTGTTTGCAGCAGCCGTCTGTCGACTGCCTTGATAAGCAAAGTTTGGCCATTTATATCTGTCGGTTCAAGGAATGAATGGTCGAATGCCGCTATTTTTGGTACTATCTCAGCCATAAGATCAGCAGAGCCGGTTTCGATGAATCGAAGGAGAACGTTAGGTCGCTCTCCTTCCGTAACCAAGTTCAGGATGCCATCTGCATCTGTATGTGACACGACTTTCACCATTGCCTCGCAGACGGCCTTGAAAGTCTTAGAGCGGGATGCATAATCATGATCCGCATTGCTAAGTCTCGCTGCAGCGTGCAAGAGTGGTATATTACCGTCCTTGTTCTTCGAGGTCAAGAGTTGACGAAGATCAGAATAGGATATCTGGTCTGCGATAATTTGAAAGTGCACCGCCCTATCCCAGTCAAGAACAAGGTGAATGATATTCTCGCCCATATTGCCTAATATCAAGGGATCCGCGCGCCCAAGTAAAATCTTTAGAATCTGTGCGCCATCAGGTCCGTCTGTCCTATGAGAGGCAATGTGAAGAGGCGTATGCCCGGTGCGTTGTTGTATATTTGGGTCTGCACCGGCATTCATGAGGGCTTTTACAGCGTTAAGGCTCTGCCAATGGGTGGCGACATGTAGAGGAGTATCCCTCCAGTCAAAGTAGCCCCTCTGGGTCAGGAGCCCCTTCTCAACTTGGGCTAGTAGTTTCACAGTCTCTGGGTGGTTTCTAAGAGCTGCATGGAAGAGGGCGCTGCAGTGAGAATGATCCTGGTGGTATAGTAATTTGCGCCTCTGGTCTGGAAACCGGCCTAGCGCATCAATTACCAGTTTGACTATTGCATACTGGGATCCATTGTCGCCGAGGAGGGCTAGGTTGAGTATTGACTTTCCATCAGTGTCGTAATGCTCGATGATGCCCTGTAGTGCCCCATCTGAAAGAGATCGCAAAATGTGGTCAACCACTTTAGGCAAACCCTGCAAGGCAGATTCAAGGAGTGGGGACCGTGGTCGAGCAGTCTTATCCATGGGGTCGGCTCCATGTTCGAGGAGGAACAAAGCGATCTCCTCTCGGCATGTATTGCAAGCCAGCCATAGTGGAGTTTGCTTTTCATTATCTTTCGAATTGACGTCAGCTCTCCCAGTCCCAATCAACAACCTTACTACAGACATATGACCCTGTTGGGCGGCCCAGGCAATTGGTGTCCGACCATGATCAAGGTCCTTTGAGTCAATATCAGGTTCACTTTCATTCAGAAGCTGATTGACTATAGTGTCATGTCCAAGATAAGATGCCACGATCATAGTATTTGTAAACCTGCGGATCGCAGTGGATGGATCGGCCATCGCGTAGAGACGAGACCATGTCTTGAATCTTCGCGATGAAGTATTGCAGATTTGCAGCACCAGCTGCAACAACTCCTCTGTCGCTTGCTTTTGAGCTTCCCGGAAATGGGCCATCCAAAACACCGCAGCATATCCAAGAAATTCAAAATTCGAAAGTAATTCCCTGAGGCTGACCTCATCCGGCATCCCGTAGTCATCGAAATCCGAGAACGTGAGCGGAACAATGCAGCTCGTTGCCAAAATTAGCTCTGACTGCACGGGGTGTAGAGAATGCTTCCACCCATCAAGCACATCCTCTCTTCCAACGAGGAACTCTTTTGCTGTCTGGTGAATCAAGTATATCCTTTGATCCAGAATAGTAACAAAAAGACCGCACATGTCTCGTACTGTAGACTCAAATCTTTCCTCGTCATCAAGATCAGCTCTGAGGTCCTCGTATGACTTGTGTTGGAGTTCCACCGTGAGAGCAGCATTTAGCTCTTGCAGAGTGAGCGGCCTGCTAGATGCAACCACAATGGACAGCAGCTTCCGCGCCTGTAGTATTTCTGCATCATCTATTCTGGAAAGAATTGCTTCATATGCCTTGTCGACTGTCGGTGGAAGAGATCTGACGATATCTTTCAGCTTCCTGCTTGTGGGGCGGATTGTTCTGTAAAGTATGTCGAACACAAGTGTTGCCCAGAGATACGTGCGATGTGTCATGGACATAAGCTCGGTTTCAAGAGTGCCTTGCTCCGTGGCATTGAGTTTTAGCTCCAAGGCTAACTTCGACAACTTCCATTTGATCACTTTGTCTATCTCACGGCCAATGGCTTCTGATTCTTGCTCCCCAGCTAGTCGGATTGTTGGGAAGTTATGCGTGAGATCTGCAAATCGTCGTTGTATGTCGTAGTAAGGACGGCTGGTGACAAGAAACTTAAGGCGTGAACTGCTCTCCTCGGAAATTGCTTGCTTGTAGAACGTGCTGAGTAGGTCGATGATCTGGTATCGCCCTTTCTCTGCGCATTCATCCAGTCCGTCCAGGATGCAGACAATCTCTCCAGCCTTCGGGTCAGAGGCCGCCTTGAGGAGGATATTCCAGAGCTTTTGGAAAAGCTGAGGGAGCTTATTGCCCTCTGCCCTGTAATCCTTGATAGCGTGTTGAATGAGCGAGTTTCGCTGCGAGAATAGTTGATGCAGAAGGGCTGACAACGCCGTAGTAACGCTGGTCTGATCTTCATTATCATCCTTGAAAAAGAAATAGCAAACAGCGCGGGATTCGGTGGGTTTTAGTTCTGTTTCATGATCAACCAGATACTTGGCCAGAACCGATTTTCCACATCCTGGGTCTGCAGAAACCCAAAGTAGAGTCGAAGAGTCGCTTTTATGCCAATGGTGAAAGTTTTCGTGGTGTAAAAACCACTCGCAAGTCTCATCAAGCCTGTCGGGATTTCGGTCTTTGTATTGCTCGTAGTCTGAAGTTCGTAGAATTTGTAGACACTCACGGCTGTCCTTCGTTGTTTCTAGAATGGATTTAGGTCCTTGCTATCTACCAGCCGACTAGAGTGCGTACCAATGCTCGGTGTCAGCTCCATATCTATAGCCTTGGTCATGAGCTCCTCAAGATCATCTTTCACCATCTCGTAGCCTTTGTCGCTTCTCCCACTGAATTTAACCATAGTCATATGATTTCCATCCAAGGTTCTTGCACGCTGACTTGGATGGTCAAGAGTCGAAGAGTCAGGTGGGACAATCTTGGTCTCGGTTAATATTTGAAGTCACAAGAGGGTAGACGTTACTATACGCACAAGTTGATTCAGGCCCCCCCCATCGAATACCAGAAATTCCCTTGGATTCCTGGAAAGTACGGACAGCGAGAGCAGCTCTCCGCTGCTCCCATTGCACAGCGAAGGACTCGCGGCAGAGTTCAAGCTCGGGTCCGGTCGGCAATAGTGCATGTACGACCTCAGAGTTCACATCCATTCCCAAAAGACAGCCTGCAACACGCGCAACCCCTTCCCCTAAGGATGCCCATTCCCTACTACCGCGATGTGGCGTTCCAAAGAAGAAAATTCCAATAGTCGAGCTGTAGATTTTCCGTATAGCTTCATCAGGGTCATGTTCAGATCGTCTCAGAGCCTCCTTCACTAGGATTCCTCCCAGCGAATGGGCGACGAAAATCAGACGACGATCTGGCGCCTTTCGTCTCTTTGCTTCTAGCTCATACAAGAGGTTTCTGGCATGAGAGAAGATATTACCCTGGTTGACCGCATGATATCCTTGTTGAACGTTTGTGTTATAACCAAAAGTCATTATCCTAGCCTGAGGAAGGTCCTCCTTGAGCAGATCTCCCGGCCAGAATACGCCGCTTGTTGCTCCGATTTCCTCATTCTGTGTCGCTGAACTTGCAGCCTCCTCTTGTCGCTTGCGACTATGGCCCAGTAGTCGACTTAGTCCCCGAGATTTGCTTTTTTTGCCAACCTCCGACGATAGACTATCTGGTGGAGACGAGGAGCTTGGGTAAAAGGTCCAAGTTTTTTGGGGATGTCCTTGGAGACCGTGCACAAATATGACGCTGGAGATGTCGTGGAATATGTCAGTAAGGTAGGTAGCGTGCGGCACAACCCGAGAGAGAAAAGATCCGAAACTCACTCTGCTGCCACATCTTGTGGGTCACTCAATACGGTCAGCCCAACAGGGCTTACAGTACCCATCATGTGTTTCAGAAGAGGACCGCACAAGGTTTAAGAAGCAGTATTCAGCGATGATGTCTCAATTGGGTTCCGATTATTTATTCAACAGTGAGGTGTGAGATTCATGCGGGGATAGAGATAGAGAGCTTACGTGGCTTAGTAGTCAGAGAGACAGCACGAATTTTAGCGCCTTTTGCTCGTATAGAAGTGGATACAGATCAGCATCCAAAGGAGGTTTAGGACAAAAGGTGAGATGGTCAGTCTGACAACGACTACGCCGCTACCTAGGTCTTGGCTTATCTCAGCGACCACTTTTCCATGATACATACCCCTGTTGTTTTAGTTAACTTTGTACTTACTACCACTTTTAGAAACAATTGGAAGAATTATCTTTCAGAACCGGATAATCATGAAAGAACGTCTCATCACCCAGTTGCATAGCGCTCAAGGTTCAAATCCCTGATTGAGAGGGTTCTTCATGTCTGGATCCCTCAAGTAGCACTGCTCCTTTTTTCAAATCAGTCATTGTTTGCTGGGGTGTTTTCCGTTGCCCTGTATTGAGTAGTAGGTTGACGACCGCCTCGTTATAATTTCGCGCTTTTACAGCGATATTATATGGCGTCTGAGTATTCTTGTTTACAAGATGTGGATTGGCGCCCACATCGAGTAGTTGTTGCACGACCGCTTCATATCCACCAGTTGCAGCTAAATGTAGCGGCATCCCGCGTCCTGTGGTAGTCGCATGTAAATTGGCCTTTGCGGTCAGTCGGTGCCTGACGACCTCCTGATGTCTGTTCTCGGCAGCGAGATGTAGTGGTGTATGCTCCCTATTGACTCCTCTTGTTTTAGCTTCAATTTCAGCGCCCGCTTCAAGCAGCTGCCGTACCACTACCGGGTGCCCGTCGAGAGCAGCAAGGTGCAGCGACGTCGCTCCTACTCTACCTCCGACGACGCTAGTAAGATTGTTGAAAGCCTCAAGCTTCGCGTGCGCGTCGAGTAGCTGTCGTATAATTATCTTGTGTCCCTGCTCAGCAGAATGGTGTGACGGCGGGTTCTACCTATCCCGGCATCGAACCTTTACATTAGCGCCTGCGTTGAGTAACGACCACATAATCGTATCCTGGCCGTGCTTGACAGCGCAGTGCAGCGGCGTCTTATCCAACCAGGATCCAGCATCTATATCAGCACCCGCGTCGATCAGCAGGCTTACAACTTCCTCGTGCCCACTGTGAGCAGCCAAGTGTAGTGGTCGAGGTTCTCCATGGGACCCGTTATGTGGGGACCCAAATCCGGCACTGAGATCAGTAGCTGCCGCGTGACCGTCTTTAGGCCCTTCAGTGTGGCCCAGGATAGCGGTATTTTCAAGAAAACCTGCCCTGGGATTTCTGTCTTTCTGAAGTAGCCGCTTGATCGCAGTTTCAAGGTCATGTCCGCACCTGGCGTGCCCATGCGGCTGGGGCTGACTGTCATTTGCCATGAAGTTGATGCCCTTGCTGAGTAGTTGCTGGATTGCAGTTCCAAGCTCGTTGTCTGCAGCAAACTAAAGTGGTGCCCACTTCTCATCCTTGCTAGTAGAATACACTTCAATGCTGTTGTCGGCGAGGAGCTTCACTATTCCCCGTTCCTTGTTGGTTGATTTGCAGTGTAGTGCTATCCAATATTCCTCAATAATAGACATGGCGTCGGTGACATTGTCGTCGCTCGTATCAGTGATGTTGACTGACCCCGTATGACCATTGATTTCCGCGAATTGTCGTGGCGTCCAGTTGTAATTTTCTTTGGTCGCGCCAACAGTATATCTAGCCGTTTCTTCAACATCTTTGTCCAGTAGAGTACAGACTATCGCTTCGTGCCCACTCATTGCAGCCAAATGTAAGGTGTCCAGCCAAAAGAATCGTCTTCCGTGTCAGCGGCAGCACCACTTTTGAGTAGGAGCGGTAGAATTAGCTCCACTAAGATATCAGCGGCCAACGCCTGGTATCGCCTGAATATCAACATTTCAAAAATGACTATATAGGTTCTTTCAATATTGTATAAGCACATACGACCATAGGGTGTGGAAAACAGGGCTTCCCGTCCGCTCAGCCGTACTTAAGCCACATATTCTGCACGGCCAATACTCAATGTGCCCTCAGCACCCAAGCGGCACTCTAGGGTGAGTGCGGGTGATATGGGTGAGAAGTCTTGAGACTGGGGTGAGAGAGGTGAGAACGGGGTGACAATTCTCACCCTTGAGGTGATAGGGGCCAACTCACTCCAAACCAATATCAGTTCTAAAAAAATACAAATAGCCTACTCCCGAGGCGCTTCTCTTAGTCTGCCATGATTTTCTTTGAATTTCTTTACCAGCTAAAATATATTCCCTAAACGGAATATCCCGAAAGCACTCCAGGAGCGTCTCGCACGTGCGATATCACGTGGCTTTACACGTGACTATCAAGACGAGAAGGAAAAAAAGGGCAATACTATATGCCACCCTAAGCTAGCGCCTGCTACGCTAGAAAAATATAACCGTACAGTTGACAATTGGGCACTATAAGCTTCGCTCGGATTTGACCGATTTTGGTTCCTAATTATCAGCAGATGGAGGATTTCCCGCAACGAGTCCATAGACCCGAATTTTCCTAACCTACCTATTCCGACTCCTGAACTTTTGAAACTTTTCGCAGAGTTTTATATTAAATTATATAAAAAGCTTCCGTCTTAATAGTTAGCTTGTAATCACTTCACCAGCTTTACGTCGAAGTGGGAGCGAGAAACTTCTCAATCCCTTCCCAAGGAAGTCAAGGACGACGTTCTTAATATAAGAGGTAATAATTATCCTTTTAGGAGCTCGCTACTAACAAAAACAAAAGTATATTAGGACCGAACTCATAGTAGACTATAAGCTCTGTACAAAGCCTAGAGAGTGGTTCCTGGTCAATAGAAAGGATATAGCTTACCTACTTCGACACCTATTTATGGATGACTATCACGATTATATATATAAGAGAGTATGTGTGTAGACCATAAGTTCTCTTTCTTTATTTACTGGCTTAGGTATAAGAGTAGGGGCTATCGTCGAATCAAGTGCTTATCGTAAATTAAATAAATACTTATATTATAGGGTTTGTATCTTGACAATTATAATTCCTAATTATACCAAAACTAATAGATAATTATTAGTATCTTTTATTTTATCTTAAATAGAGCAAGGAAAGGGGATCTCTAATATATTAGGTAATAATTGATCCCGAATTCTTGAAAGGCTAGCGTTATCGCGACGATACTACCTTATAAGTTTATAAGCTATAATCATTATATCTAGAAATAGCTAATATAATAAAATTAGACCAAAAAATTAGTTTAGGGAGTATCTGGTGCTTAGGATAAGTTTTGTTTTCTAGGTAATCGTCTATAGGGTAGCGGATAGTGCCTTTAAAGGGCTTGCCACTATGACTAAGGTTCTTACCGCAAAGCCACCTAACAGAAGAGAGTTATAGACCTTAGAATAGAATAAAACCACAAAAGATTTACTATTCTTTAGAAGGGTCACTACTTAAGGACCTAACCCAATAAGGGCGTTGACCTTCTCCTTATTGCGGCATAACTTCACTACCTTAGCCTAGCGGGATAGGTTTAAAGACTAGTTACGCGTGTATAGAATTCGAGTAGGTATTGTAAATAAGATCGACCGTAAGTATATTTATGCTATCATATCCCAATTTTACTAACGAATTTCAGCCAAGGCTTCTTAGGCTACTTATAGCTAGGCTCTTGATCACTAGAATCATAATACCTATCTAAAATATTAGTCTTCTCTTAAGGTATTAGATATATAAGCCTTATTCTATGATTTAGAGCCTAACCACGAATACCACGATATAGAACAAAGTATATCTTATCACCGAGACTCGAACGTGCCGCTAAAACTTAATATAGCTACGACTATATAATTCGAATCTAACGATAAAATTGTTACGATCAATTAGAGAATTGCCTACTTAACGTAGGAGATTGCTAGAAGACTAGAAGAGAATAGGGATCTCGTATTTGAATAGGATTGTCTCTATAATAAGAAAGTAAAGAGATTGCTCGCCTAGAAGAAAGATTTCATTAAAAACTAGTGGGACACTTCGTACACTAAGTATATCTCTGGGAACGACTTCTCCGAACGCGACCTAACGCCTCTTTTCGATATCTATAAGAAATATCTACTAGAGCGCTCCTATCTCAGCGAGAATTTATTAAATAAGGCTACTCTAGATAGTGAACTTGGTCGATAGTGCCTAGAAGATATAGTCACTATTTATATATCGATAGAATATGCTATTTACTACCCCGGTATAGCCCCTAAGGAAGGCCGTTGTCTAGTATATAATAAGTCTATACTAGAGTGAGTGTACCCGAAGAGTATTATAGATCAAAAAGTTAACAAGAAGATAGTATTCCACTATAAGGGAGAGCTAAGTATATACTATAGTGTCGAAGAAAATCCTTAAATAGTGTACAATACTAGTAGCGCTATAGGAACGAAAAGCGCGCCTATCGACGCGTATAGCGTAGCTTTGTTCAATTTTGTTATCTTTACGCTAAACTCTTCCTTGATAAAGATTCCTAGGATAATCATTGCAAATACCATCTCGACAACCTTAACCCCCGATATGGTCTTTTAACTTTCCGCTCCACACTTATTACGCTAGGGTTCTGTCTATTCTGCCTAGGCGATAAAAGCAAGAAACTAGACGAGAGATTCCAATAATAGGTTGTAAAATCAACTCTTCTAAATTATATTGACGAACACTTGGCGTTAACGGACTCTTTAGCCGCAGTCTTCTACCCTTATCCGTGTTGCGAAGAAAGGAAGTATATTAATAACTTATATCTCTAGTGGCACTTCTTTGATATATATTCTATAGAAGAGCCCCGGTCAAACTATGTTAAACGAAAAAGAAAGTGGTAGCTTTAGTTAGAGCCCGCAGAAACTACTTTTAGGAATTTAAGCGATGAAATATTGCCGAGTTTAGAGGATTATTTTCTTACTAGCACTCTACTAACTAGTTTTGAAGATTCGGATATAACCCCCGTAGATGATTTATTTATGGAATTTGTACGCTTGGATGACGACTAGGCGTAGGGCATTGACTAGGATTCTATCGTTAATAATGACTATTACTAGAAACGAAGGTGCTTAGTATATAATTAAACGATGCTAGATTGACAGTATATTTGTTAGGCATAGATTTAGTGTTGATACTTATATCTTTCTTCATATACTTTCCTTAACCAAACCCTAGGTACGTGGACACCCTTAGATATATATCCCCTTAGTATAGCTCTATGAGTATATATTTTATAGGCTTACTTACTAGTTCTAGGTAGGCTATTAGTGATATATGAAGTATAGGTCTTAGTGCTTAATCTCGCTCTGATCCTATCTAGCATTTTGCGAGTAAAGTAATTGCCCTGGTATCACCTATATCACTAGTTCGACAGCCTACACTAATCAAGCGTATCTACTTATAAAACCCGGTTTTATAAAACGAGGTCACTAGGCTCGAATGCTATAATATTTATAGAGAAGCGAAACTTAAAGGAAGTCTCTTTTGTATTCACGCTAGTGATATAGAAAACCTAGTAGGCAAAACCATATCTAAAGAGATCTATATACTATCGATCTTTTCTCTGTACACTATAGGGTCGGGTAACGCAGTTCTATCTAAGTAGAAAAAGAAAGTGAGTGTAATCGTTTAATCTAAGAGCGGGAGGATAAGCTATATTATAAATTATATTTTGAGGGATAAGGCTATTTATATAGCTACCCTATAATTATCTTATCCAGAGTTAGTATAGCTAGATATTTCGCTTGATAATACTAAAGCGGATGATAGAGATAATACCGATATCGAAGGTGTAGATTCCGATGATTCCGGTGCCGATAAAGATGATTGCGATGAAGATACCGATAAAGACAGTGAAGATAGGTCGGAAGTAATACACAAGCTACTAACCTTAAATCTGTTGTCCAATCGATACCCTGCCTTGTCTCTATTTTGGTTATAGAATTTAACTACCCTATTTTCGTTTATATCTATCTATATAATAGGTAGGATGTTGTCTTTTGTGCTGCTGTATACACCTATATCGAGCTTAGAGTACTCCTTACGAATACCATGTTTAATCATGCTTAGATCTAGAGTTTCGTCAGTACTAATAGTATATCGGTGGCACTATTACGTACTAGAACAATCGTCTATATTAAGGAGACTAAAAGATAATAAATATCCTATATAGCTATAGTTATCGTTAGACTATATCACGTATTGGCGATTATAATCGATAACCGTGAGACTACCACCTAAGGCGGTGTGTATATAGACACTAGCGAGAAGTAGGAAGATAGAGAAAGTTATATTTCCAATATTTATAAGGATTGAAAGATGATAGACAGATTGGTATCTCCAGCCTTAAGCTATTGTGAAAAGCGACGATTTTGTACAGTATATATATATCTACGAATTTAAATGTCTATAAGTCTCTTGATACACTGTGATAAAAACCGTGGTAATACGCGCGCAATACACTTTGCGGTACGCTTTGCGGCACCCTTTGCGATATACTCTGCGACACACTTTTTTGAGTCGAGGTCCTACTAATTCCTGACTTAATTTTAGCTCCTAAGCTAGCTTGTGTCCCTACCCCCTGATATATAGCTTTGTCGAGATAGATAGGTAGAGTCGTGACACGTACTATCTAGTGGTATGGTGCTAAGGTGGATTGGGGTTACTACTCTAGGAGTCGCACTATAAACTTAAGTATTGGCGCTGTTTTATAAATTACTTGTATAGTTTGATGATTTTTTAGTCTACAGCCTGACTTAGATATATAAAGGTAGGTATTCTTCTGTATTAATCCTCGATTATGTATCCCAAAGTCTGTTAGGCTTAAACGTAAGTTTTGTTAATATCTAACAAATACTATATATACTAATACCGCCTAGAATGAAGGGAATTGTCACCTGGTTTTGCGTCTCTTGTCATGATATTGATTCCTATCGTATAAAGATCAAATTTATAGGAAACGAGCCTAGATCCTATTTTGTTTGTATTTGGTCGTATTTACTCCCTGCTAAGCGGCGTATCAATATTAATACACTATACATAAATTGCTTAGAGGAAACCAACCTTCTATCATCGAAGGATTAGCGAGAGTTTATCTATAAGAAGAAGGATTAAATTATATTTGAAGAACGTGTTGTTTGGGTAAAGTAGGAGTGGGACCTTTGGGTTACTTCTCGCGAATGCTAACGTATTAACAAATCTGTGCAATATAATAGGGGCTTGTGTGTTTATCTATTTGGTGGTGTTAGTATATATTAGTCTTATTTCGAGTTCTTAAGGCGGGGCGGATTAGAAAATTAGACTAAGGGCAAGATTGTTAGATATAGGAGGAGTTGGTATAAGAACACTATTATAAGTCTAAGTTCTGTAGTATATATCTATTCTGCAATTTTATATATGTGAATTCTATAACTCTGACTGGAGTACCACTAAGTAACTTGAATCATTCGAGACCTTACTATAGTAGTCTAATATAGACACTATTTTAAGTTATTTACCACTGTACTAGAACACTACTAAGAATGGGGATTAGGGGGTAGAGTAATTATGATAGGGTATTTTTAGCACTCTGATTATTTGTTGTATTTTTCTAAGTCTGTAGGCGAGTCGAAATTAGTTGCGAGTAGACGCGGTAGTCTGCTGGAGAGTAGGGACATACTAGAGAGTAGGGACACACTAAAGAGTAGGGACGTAATAAAGAGTAGGAATACACTGGAGACTAGGGACACACTAGAGAGTAGGGACACACTAGAGAGTAGGGACGCACTGGATAGTAGGGACGCACTAAAGAGTAGGGACGCACTAAAGAGTAGGGATATACCTAGAGAGTAGGAACGCACTGGATAGTAGGGACGCACTAGATAGTAGGGACGCACTAGAGAGTAGGGACGCACTAGATAGTAGGGACGCACTAAAGAGTAGGGATATACCTAGAGAGTAGGAACGCACTAGATAGTAGGGACACACTAGATAGTAGGGACGCACTAGAGAGTAGGGACGCACTAAAGAGTAGGGACACACTAAAGAGTAGGGATATACCTAGAGAGTAGGAACGCACTAGAGAGTAGGGACGTACTAGAGAGTAGGGACGCACTAGATAGTAGGGACGCACTAGAGAGTAGGGACGCACTAGATAGTAGGGACACACTAAAGAGTAGGGACACACCTAGAGAGTAGGAACGCACTAGAGAGTAGGGACGCACTAAAGAGTAGGGACGCACTAAAGAGTAGGGACACACTGGAAAGTAGAGGCTAGGCATGACGCACGGACCCACTAGAGTCGGTAAAGCGCGACACGGGTTTAAGTGTTGTAGGTACATTTAAAATTATGATGGCGCTTCTTTCTATCCCTTCGTGCAAGATTTCTCTCCTCTTTTATTTAAAGTAAAATAAGAAGAAAATAGAAGTAAGCGAGAACCTTCTTGGTCACCGAACAAACACCCTCGCCCTTCAACGGCTATAATATTATCAGGGATACGTAATCATAAAGTTACAGTATCTTAGATATAAAGAGTATAACCTAACGGGAACCCGAGAGATCGCCGAGAAAAATGTGGAGAAACTTTTTAGGATGTTTGAAATCGAAGGCTATAGTAACCTAGAGCCTAAGCACAGAGTTGCCGCGACTATTGATCAGGAGGTCCTAAGAAAAGCACTTACAAAATCAAATCTCACCCTAGAAGCACTTATCGATCCAAGAAATTAGCCAAATCTCCTATTAGAAGGAGAGGATATTATTACTTATGTATACGGGAAATATTGTCTGAAAGCTAGCGAGAGATTTAGAGAAACTACGTGGCTAGTTAATCTTTATCTAAATGGTTGGGTAGTATTGAAAAATATCGAATAGAGACTAACAACGTTATAGATATCTCGATCGATATACTCGCCTAATTACGCGAAGAATCGACACAAAGTATAAGCTTCACTATCGGCGAAATATATCGTACCCTTAGGTCATACCAAATTTCACAAAACCCTGCTTAGGAGTAGAAATGGTAGGCTAGACTTGGTTCCGAAGACTATCGTAAACAAATACAACGCTTGTAACGTGACGATCAACGGCGTTGTATTTTAGATAAGTTGTTACTATACGTTGGGCTATAGAAGCCACTACGATCTTCCTAAATCACTAGGATATTAGGCCTGAAATGCCTAGAGGTATATTTAATAATTGTATACCTCGCACGTAGCTAACTTCCTTCCTAGATACTAAACTATTATCTATGCGTAGTCCTAGAAATATAGACAAAATTTCTTGAATCTTAGGATAGGTAGCTTGTCGACTTGGATTCCGTGTCCTATATTGAAGGATTAATACCTAGTATCGCTATGGTAGACCGAAAACGTATCACCGATCTTATAGATTCAAAAAAGATATTTCCTCTTCTTAGAACAACTCAATATAGGGAAGTCCTTAAGAGTCGCCTTCTCTAAACACCTAGGAGGATATTATCTCTTACTACGCTTATCTAAGATACACTATTTATTGAGAGACTAGTAAGAGCGCTCTACTATCTCTATCCTCCAAAATTCAAATAAAGCCTTCGAAAAGCTATGCTTACTTAATGGAATCTTGTCGGAACCGGAGGTCTCCTTGAAGTCTAGACAATAGAATAGGAGTTCACAACAATACAACGAACTGAATACCTGTTTGTTGTATCTATACTATAGCTTTGGCTTTTTGCTTATAGGTATTTCGTCCACCAAGGAGGCCGCGTGAGAAATTTTCGACAACAATTCCAATGTTTTACTATAGATATAAGCCTAAGTAAGCTTACTATATTGGCTTCCCGATTGGGCTTTGAGTTAGACTAAATTAGGTAGCTTCGAAGTAGAAATTTAGGGCAATATATAGTACAAGGCTTTTTTAAATCTCTAAGTAGGGAGGAGTTCTACAAATACGAAGAGCAAAAGGTGTAATCGATATTAAATAGACTTTAGAGCATGTTACGGAACCTTCCTAGTTCTCTGGCGGAGGACGATAGTATAGCCCGATTCACAATAAATAACCTAGAACTCGAAGTAAGCCACCGATTTAATAGCCTAGCACGAGATAAGTATCTATAGTAGCGTAGAAATATTTTTTACAATTAAATCTTTAGTCCCGATCAGCTACTATCGGAATATATAACGTCGCTCGGCGTGGTAAAAGATATTATTAGGTCGTTCTTCGGCAAAAGTTTATTTTTTTAGCTAATTTTCGATAAACGACAAGCTATACCTATCCAAAGTCCTATAAGGCTTACTAAGACCGCGCTAGGATCTATCGATCCTGATATAGATTTTGAAGAGTGGTATCTATAAGTTTAACCCGTGAATCTATCGCCTTCGGAAGCACCCTAGCCCTTAATAAACTCCGGACTAGAGTTAGTAGAGGAAGATACCAGTGAGCTAATAGAGTTAGCTAATCACCTAAGTGGAACTCCCGATCGTGATACTCTACCGTTGGCAGCTGGTTTCGAGGAAACGTCTTAACAAATAGAAACGAAAAACTACCTATCTATTCGAAATAAGGTACCTAAGATCCTTTTAATATGGTATCAATCATATCAAGAAGTGATCGTTTTGTACCTATTCGAATCAAGAGTCTATTATAAATTCTTCTTAGGGGGTGGATTTAACCTATAAGTAGTCTTACACGATCTAGTAAGTGATTATCTCTTTATAGTGATTAATAAGTATAGAATAGGCACCCCAGATATGAACAAGGTATATAAAGCAGCTTTGAAAGAACGGTTAATACTTGTTGGGAAAATAGACAATCTAAGTCATGGAAATAACATGGAAGGGACGATTTTATTAGATAAACTCCGTGATTACGTTCTGTACTATAATATTTATATAGGAAAGAGAAAGGTAGATTCTATAGATAATCGATCGGGAAAGTGTTATTAGGAAACAGCACCTGATAAGTAGTTATAAGGAATAAAACTGTTTTCTTGTTCTTCAATCAATTTTTTATCTTATAGAGGATATTACTCCCTCCGCCACTTATCTACAGTTTTATACCCCCTTTCAGTCTAATAATAAGCTTCACTCTTATCTAAAGGATCATGCCTCTAAGCAGACAGCGGCAGTAGTTAACGACACTATAGTGGCGTACTACGTAGTATACCTTGTGGGTACTACGACAGATGCTTCGCCTATAATAAATTCTGATAGGCCTTATATCGCCCCACTATCTTTTATCTTAGTGTAGCGCTCACTATCCCTTCTATGCTTAGAATATACCGGGTAGATACTTATAAGCCGTATAGTCAAGTGAACTAACCGGAGTATAGGAGTCTAGATTGTAAGTACGGCGGCTCACCACTATAGTTATATATCTATATCGGAATACGAAGTATAGAATATAGACCTATTTATAGCGTGGAAAATCCTCTAGGTGAACAATATAGGTTAAAACAAAGAAGCTTTGCCATTTATTATAGACACAAAAATAGTACTACAAATATTTTTTTGGCTTTCTATCACTTCAATTGTAGTCCCGACGGACGAAGTTCTATTTCGTTTATATATTTGGTAGCCTCGATAGGTAGAGATTTGCGAACCTAGTAATTAATATTCTTCTTAGCTCCTTATATTTTATATCCAATATATCCTATCAAGGTGAATATTATTGACACGTTTACCAATACAGATTCCTAAAGGAAACGCCTAGTGGTAATGACGCTTTAAACTCCAATATCCCCCTAGGTTTGCTAGATGAAGAAACTCTTCCTATCGATCTATTATTATGTATTTACGTCTTGAGTTTAAATAATACTAACCTTTAGTAGATCCTCTGCTGAACTAGAAGTATTCGCCTTCTCGACAAACGACTACGCTAACTTAGAAAGACACGGTATACCTAGGCCTTGCTTAGGGTCGCCTAAATGAGTTAGTCGGTCACTTAGTGAAGTCACGATAGACCTAATAGCCTCGATATCTTCTTTGATACTATCGCGAGACCTTCTCTTTATTAGACACTCCCCTATATTTGCTGTCTAATGGTCAGAGTTGGTTATTATATTCATTAAGTGCTATACCTATCTTGATTTCGCCTTTCGATATAAGAAGTATATTGCTACAATCTAATAAGGGATAAGAGGTCTTTAACTCGTAGTGGATAAAAATAATCCCTCTAAGGATTTCCTTGTAGATAGTTACTATATCTACTTTACTAAAGCGAATATTCGTTACTGTATAACCAAGGCTAATAGCTAAATAATGATATTCGTATACGATATAGAATTTCCCTCTAGATTAAAAGCCTTCTATTAAACACACTAAGTTTTGGTGTATGATAGATTGAACTTATCTAAAAGCGTGGGTGTTTTGAATGCTACACTACTTAAGAAAGTAGGTAGGTAGGTTCTTAGTGTCTTTGAGCCCTATCACGCCTAGGCCTGCCTAGTCAATGTTGTAAGATAGATGGTACTGTGCCGGTGATTCCACTTTGATAGTTAATGAGCTATTAATATTTTTAGTTGGAATGATAGGGACCCTAAGTCGATATATATAATTATTTTGGACTAATTTCTTATTGGGTTTCTCAATTTCGGTGCTTTCCTTGACGATACTTTCCTTGTCGAGCCATAGTTTCTTAGGAAATTAAGTTTCGCGCTTCTCTCGATTTAAATTGGATGCTATTCTGAACTGGTTGTGAAAGTGGAAATATAATATTAATACTTTATATCCGAAGTGCTGTCCTTGTTTATATATTTAAGGATTATATTTCGATGACTAATTCTCGCCCTAGGCACTCTGTATTCGCGGTTATATTTTTAGTGTCGTAGGGTGGAGATTTAGTAAATACTTTAAAGTTACGACCGCCTAAATTTCCTATATATCTCTAGTATTTACTAACGTATTAGGTATAGGATGTGTAGCTAAATATGGTTGAAAGTAGCCTATCGGTAAATTTTCTCGATGTAAGTGATTTTATACAAATCTAGTATTTTAGCTAAGAGACTAAATTAAAGAACACTTTTCTATTCCACTGTACTTAAGTACTTAATTTTTGGTCAACAAAGTAACTATTAAAGAGGGGAACGCTTAAGGCTGTATGCTCTGAGGTATATAGGTCGATTTAGTATCCGTAGTTCAGTCTTATACTCGATTTTGTATACAAAGGAACCTAGGCCTACGGCCTAAGAAGTTAATCTAGAGAGGTATAGAGGTGTATATTCTTCAATCTGTCTCTCCTAACTACCTTATACCCTCTAGCGCTCCTAGATTACCTAATTAAACACTTAGTAAACGATAGGACAGGCGAGGTTAATACGTACTAGGAGATAGGGTCCCCCACTATATACCACCCCTCCCAAAAATATCGCCTGTCCTTAGGCAATTCGTAGTACTTCGGCCTTAAAATAACACGTAGAACAAATATGAAGGGAATCAAAATGCTCGAGGAAAAGAAAGCCTCCACTCTTACGGCCTAGCACCTATAAGGACTCACTCCGCCGTAGTTATATCACTATTATCGGTCTTTCTGGTACTGTAGGTAGACCTCGGGAATAGGGAGCCCCTCTTTTAAAAGGTAGAAGTAGGATTACTTACTATATACGAGCTTTTCGACTAAAATAATTCGTATAAAGGCCTCTATAAACTAGCGTGTAGCGCGGTGGCGCTAATATAAAATCTAGGAATAAGCTACTTCTTTGTCCTCCCCAAAGAGAATATTAAGCTTAGCCATAATAGACCACTCCGACCACTTGATTCTGCCGAGTAGTGTATCTAAAAGGTCTCCGAGGCCTATAAGGTGAGACACCCCTAGGAAGGTGTACAGGCTCACCGAGCGTTTCTGACTAGACTCGCCTAATAGTTTCCGTGTGCCAATGGATAGATCTCGGTGGGTATCTACAATTTCCCCCTAAGTCCCAGCCTCTATAGTCTCTAGATATTTATGGTCTTCGTGAATAACCCTAAACTAGGGTATTATCGTGTGTCGGAGACGTATAGTCAGTCCTGTGGAGCTATATAGGATCATAGGAAGGGTTAGTCGAACGTCTCCAGCTTGGTAGACTACCCCTATAAACGAAGTTCCAAATTTATCCTTGTCTTCCTTGGTCTATATCTAGGGATAGATCACGATTGTGTGTCCTAACGCCTGTATATCGGGGTAGCTCTCTATCCTTGACCACCACTCCTTAAGATATAAGTGTATCTTTGGGAGGACGATAGTGTAGTTATCCTTATCCTTATCGGTAAAGGAGACCGATCCCTAGACTGTATTACCTCCTCGGCTAGTTACTAAGTAGTCCCCAATATTTAGATTAAAGTGGGCGAACCCTGTTTCCTCGCCTAGGTACACACTCTTTGTATAGTACGGAAATAATATCAGCCGCCACGCATGATCCGGGCGAATCGCGACGTACACCGCGTAGTAATAGATATCTTACCGGGTTAACTATTAAGTAAGAGACTAGAATATATTGCGATTCCACCCTAGTCTAGGTCTCGCGACTGTAGGCGTATAATAATAGTCGTATATATCGAACTCGAGGTAAATCAGCTATATTAGGGATACCACCGGTTGACCTAGTATCCGCGAGAGCGACACTACCCCCTCTTTACTTAAGATATCATTATTAAGCTAGCTAAAAAGCTTAGGAAGGACTACGTTCCCTATTACTTCGAACTCCTCTATTCTTTACCTACTAGTCTTATCTCTAGTCCTATAGATTCGAGCGTAGATATCCTCTAGATTAAATCCTAGCTTAGTATACCTTGCCACGCGCGGGAATAGCGCCCCTATCTTGAATCGGAAGGAACTGTGTGTCACGCCCTTAGAGAAATACTGCGGGGTGAACTAGTCCAGTTTATCCTTTCTAAACCCATCCTAGTTATCTAGCTATCTAGCGGTATATAATAGTCGGCTAAGTAAGTTAGCGTACCTAAATTATCGCGTGTACAATCCTAGGTAGCCACTCAGTGCCTTCGCGTGCGTAAAACATATCTTTTCGGCCGAAAAGATACCCAGAACTCTTATAGCTTTTCGTAGTTTAATTAACCTTTCTCGGTCTATGGGGTAAATAGCCATCGACTTAAGCCGCTGTAGAAGGGACTTCGACAATACGTAGTGATATTGTGGCTGAGGCCCGACTTAAGGGCGTTTTGGTATAGGGGACTATCGGTAGCGAGCATGGACTGCCTATCCCGCAAACCTTCGGTTTCTCTGCTTCTTTTTTGCTGCGCTAGTAGTCGGTAGGGTAAGAGGTAGGTCGGTCTGGTCTAAACCTAAGTCTGACTCTCTGTCTCTCGAAGTTTTCGAGGGCCTTAGTAGTATCCTATCCGTTGAAGAACGGGGCACCTAGGGTACCAGGATCGGGCATAGGAATCGAAAAGAACCCTTACTGTACCCACGGAGTTTCCTGGGGGGTTGGGTAGCTTAAGGGGTTTATTAGGGGCTGGCTCGGCAGTTCACCCTAGGGGTGAACTACTAGCGGGGCTTCGGCTGACCTAGGCGGCACTTAAGGGTGCGCTAAGTCCTCGGACTTAGAGCGCTTATGTTCACAATACCCCTCGAACGGCGAAGGGGTTCGGCCAGAGGAGGGGCTAGGCGTGTCTCCTGGTTCGAGGAGGGCTAAGAGGCGCGAGTCTCTATCGGGGTAGGTACTCTCCTTAGTTATCCTATCGGGTCTCTTTTTTTTGTGTTTCTTAGGTTTTTGTAAATAGGGGCTTTAGTAGACTAGGCGGAATCGACAGAATCAATAAAATTAATAGAAAAAGGACTAACGTAGTCCTCCCTACCACACTCTATAGTGGTTTCCGAAAGTGATAAAGAAGACGAGTAGTTCTTTGTAGTCTTGACTGGTGGTTGTTTCTGGGGTGCTTTCTCCTGTTTTTCGTACTGGAATCTCACAATCGTCTGTAGTATATACTCTTTTAGCACACTAGTCCAGAGGTATCCGATTCCCGGCCAAATTCTTTCGGCTGAAATCGCTAGTTCTTTGGGCTTTATATGCGCCAATACGCGTAGCTCCGATGGCTTGACTAACCTATTAGCTAGTAAGCCTCTCACTAGCTAAGTATACTCGTTATAAAAGAAGGCCATTGTCCTTCTTTACACTAATCACCAGACTGGCTCTAATAATAGCTCAATTCACTTCTATCGGTCGAAGTGATATATCTAGGGGATACCTAGAGTCCTTCTCCACTAGCCTATCCTACCTACTAACAGCTCACAGGGTCAAATTATATCCGCACCTTTTTTTTCGACACCCTCGAGCTCCCTAAATCACTCAATTCCTTGATACTCTGTCAAGAGTCAACTTACTGCGCTATATGCTTAGCCACCCTATAACGAACTCCCTGCGTCGGTCACTATATAAAGAGGGGAACGCTTAAGGCTGTATACTCTAAGGTATATAGGTCGATTTAGCATCCGCAGTTTAGTCTTATACTCGATTTTGTATACAAAGGAACCTAGGCCTACGGCCTAAGAAGACAATCTAGAGAGGTGTAGAGGTATGTGTTCGTCAATCTATCTCTCCTAACTACTTGTACCCTCTAGCGCTCCTAGATTACCTAATCAAACACTTAGTAAACAATAGGACAGGCGACACTATATATTCATGGAAATTCTACGCTTTCACAATGCCTGATATTATGTATTGCCCTATTCTCTAGCGTCTTTATATTCGTTTCGTTTCTCACAGCCTAAGGAAGGCGCGTAAGCTTCCAGTTTGACCCTAAGGCTGGAACTTAGGTTCGAATAGCTCGACGTTCTTATCTACACGTGACCTGACTAAGTTCCTAATATCATCCCGAGTTTGTGCTTATATATATACTGGTTTGAGATAAGAGGGCGTTTTATAATGAAGGGAGAGAACAGGGCTTACCTAGGACAATCATTTTCCCTAATTGATTTCCTATCTCTATATCAAGCTGCTTTTCCTAGCTAACGCGTCCGCTACGTATATCGATAAGCCTATTCTCACTAATATACTGAATTTTATCTTCTGATTAAGCGCGTAGTGGATCGTAAATTGAGACGTGAAGTATCTGTTTAGCGTAAGTAGATAGCATCACCAAGATAGAAATAGGCACGAACGTAACCGTTATCTTGCCTGACAAGGGTCTAGAGTAGGTCTTGTACGCTCTTATAATTACCAACCCTATCTAACTACCAGACGAGCGAGATTACCTATATACGTACTTAAGCCTTTTTATAGCTATCGAGAAGCTCCTTAATATATGGTAATTAAGCCGCGATACCGATACCGGTAGCAATTATGAAAGTATATCTATAGTCGCCGATATTGTAGTTTAATCTCTAACTAATAGACAACGGACCAAAAGGGCTATTAATCCAGGCCCCAAATTCTCTATTTGGCTCAATACGATCGAAGAGTCTCTTTATAAAACCGGAACGAGGACGAAGTAAGATTAAGATTAAAACCGCCCGGCCATTAATATTATTCTCCCACTAGCTAATAGTAAAAGGGTGTGATTAAAAAACATAAAAGATTCCCACAGAAGGAACTCCTAGGTTGATACGTTGACCGGCGCGCATAACCCACAGTCTAGGTAATGATAGTGTTATTCGAGTAATATCACCTATATAGGGTTAT